TTTTTTTTACATTTTTTTGTTAGACTTTTTTTTTTTTTTTTTTCTCAGATAAATGCTTTAAACTTCATATTCATTAAAGAATAATGAAAAAAATTAAGCAGCTGTTTTTAACATGGATAATAAGAAATGTTTCTTGAGCACCAAGTCACCATATTAGAATGATTTCTAGAGGATCATGTGGCACTGAAGACTTTAGTATTGGTTTTTGAAAATTCAGCTTTGTCATCACAAGAATAAATGACATTTTAAAATATATTAGAATAGAAAATATATTGTAATGTAAAGATACCACTATTTTTTTCTGTATTTTTGATCAAATAAATGCAGCCTAGGCAAGCATGAGACTTCTTTTAAAAACATTAAAAAGCGTACCTACTCCTTTGATTTGGTACTCCAGATTTTCCATATGAAATATGTAAAAATGTAGCCTATGTAAAGAACAAGTTGTGGTATTGTCTGCTTCCAGTATTTTTCTAATCACACCAATAAGGATAATAGAAAAAAATTTAAATATTTGCCAATATAGTCGCCAATATACCATGCACCTCTGCTTTTATTGTGTAGGAAGTCAGGTGGAATGGAAGTGAACGGGTGTTACTGAAGATGTTTAGCAGAAAAAGGCAGACGGTGAGCAGCAGAGTGAGCGCTACCACTGCTGTGTGAGATGAGGTGAAATGAACAGTCATGACCTCAGTGCTACTGTGAGTTAAAGAGGCCTTGAGCATCACTAGACCCTCTAATCCTTCCCTCAGTCAGCCAGGGAAAACACACACATACATGCTCAAGTATTCCTGTTGTATCAGCGCATGGTTTCTGGGACAGTCAGTGGAGTGTCTCATGCCAGACCCCGCAGCGATCCACTCTCACAGGGAGGTCAGAGACGGGTCACGGCTAAATCGGAAACAAAAATCTCCCCAAAACCAGCTCAAAAAGTCCTTACCTAAGCCACAAGTTTTTAGTAGTTCACATCATTCATGCATGTGTTTATAAACAGGCTGCTTGTATCACTAAATGAATGTTGTCCCATGCAATTAAATCAACCTAGTAATGCTTAAAGGGATAGTCCACCCAAAAATGAAAATTGTTATCATTTACTCACCCTCATGTCGTTCTAAACCTGTATGACTTTCTTTCTTCTGCAGAACAATAAAGACAAAATTTTGCTAATCAAACAGTTTCCGTTCCCATTGACATCCACAAGAAGATATTTTGAAGAATGTTGGTAACCAAATATTTTCAGTTCCCTCTGACTTCCATTGTGTAGACAAAAATGACAAAGGAAGTCAATGGGACCTGAAGCATTTTAGTTACAAACATTCTTCAAAATATATTATTTGGTATTCTGCAGAAGAAAGTAAGTCATACAGGTTTGGAATGACATGAAGATAATAAATGACAGAATTTGTATTTTTAGGTGCATTATTCCTTTAATTCTCTAGTATGTTTAGGCCTTCTGGTCACTTTTATTCATACAGACAGTAGAGAAAGAACAGAAAAACTGTATTTAAAAAACGGGGCCAGCTGCATTTGTGTATCAGAGCATCTGCTAGGCCACTTGTCAGACTCTGAATGTGCTGTATCTCATTTGGTTGTGTTATTTTTGTTGGCGTGGGTGGGTCAGTGTTGCACCCTGGACAGATGTGTTGTTCTGCGGCTGCGCTCTGTGTGGCAGCGCTGGTCATCAGCGTGGAGATTTCCGGTCGTGCTGGATGGATGGTTTCCTCAGCCCCTCTGAAAACAGCGGGAGGGCTTGTCTGAGGTCTGAGCACTGGCCAAAGGTCAAGAGGCGGTAATAAGTGCGGGTCACAACCACATATACAGACTCGACAGGGCGGTGAAAAACTACTGAAACAGCCTCTTCTGCCGCCTCCCTCCGAAGATTATTTTCCTTCTTTCGTTTAGTCACTAAACGTCAAAGACGATCCGTTTACATCAGTATGTTTAGCATAGAAACGTATGCATCTGTTTACTGCATATTTTTAGTCTAATAGTGAAGACGTTTAATGTTCAAACAAATAAATAGTTGCACTTCTGTGAGAAGCATAAACGCGTCTACTGCTGAGAGGTTTGCTTTGTTAACACTGCCCCCGAGTGGTCGAGAAGAACTATTGCAGATGTCCAGCGGCCGTCATTCAGAGTGTATGAATACTGTCAAGCTAACTGCCCCTTTAGGGCCTGAGAATGGAGATTGAAGGGCTCTCTCTGTTGATAGCCATGCTGGTAAGTGGCAGGTTATTATCTTCTCAAAGGTGTCAGAAGTGATTTTTATTTATCGCTGTTTTGAGATCCTTCCCCAGTGAGGCAGGACTGCAGAGTTACCGTGATTGGAAGAACACTTCTGTAGGGACTCTAATATAGGTGCACGGGACCCATAATGCCATATACTTCACATTCATGCTTGTTGTTCAGGGAGAGAGAGGAAAAGAAGCAAAGCTCCTTTGTTGTTTGTTAGTTATTAGTAATATAGTCTCATGTTCCTTACAGAATCATTTTAGACTTGAGCTCAATGGCTTATTGATCATTAATGAACAATATGGAGTAAGGATATACACACATACTGTAGACAAACAACACTGCTAAACTATTTTTACTTGTTTTGAAGAAATTGTGTGTGGTGTTTGCTCATGCAAAACTCGCCACCATGGTAAAAGGGCCTTGCTATGTGTTTGCTAAGGTTTTCTGAGTGAGTGCATCCTTTTTGTTTTTCTTTTTTAAAACTTGTGTACATAGTTTTAATTATTTAAAACTAAAACTGTTTTATTTATTGTTATTGGTCAGTATTGGATATTTAATTGTGCATTCTCATTTTCCTTCATTTTATTTTATTTTTTAAATATTTATATTTATTTATTTTTATGACATTTTTATATTATTACTAATCGTTTAATAATAGTTAAATGTAACCTCTAGCAAATGAATATCCGTTCTTCATACTTAAAATGTTTTGATTCCTAAATTCACATGAATCATATATTTTGCGTTTTACATTTTGAATGTGTTTATTTTATTTGTAATTTAATTTTTCATTGTTATATTTTACTTTATGCTTTATAAAATAACAGAATTTTAGTATCTATATTGATATTTTTAAAATATAAAATATTTTGAGTAACATCAGTTATCATATAAAAATAATTATCCACTTATCAATGTTTTGATATTAGTACATCCATATAGTGATTAGTATTTTCTGATACATTAAGTCAACATAAGCTGAACGTTTAATGTCCCTCAGTCCTGTTGAGTTTGTATGGTTGGTGTTTTAACTTTTTTTAGCCTGAAGTATGAATTTGAAGACTCACTTATCAGTCTCAAGCACATATTTCTTCAAAATGATGAAGTTAATTTATAAAAACCTGCCATGTTTTATTGAGAACTTCGTGCATGAAATAATAGTTGTTTGATTCTCATAAAAGCCATTTTGCATTGAACTCGACACACTAGCTTTAGATTTCCCACCAGTATTTAGTACCTAGTAAATGAGTTTGAGTGAGTTTGTGTCTTGAGTGTTAGTCGTGAGTGTTTGTGTAAGGGCTTCGGCAGCAGCAGGCCTCACTGGAAGGCCGTCTGTGCATCTCTCATCTCCCTCTTCTCTCTTAAAGGGGCCTCCCGGCTCGCAGCCGTCACCACACGCACAGCCTCCCCCACACAATACCAGCAACCCCATGATGGGACCCCACGGCCAGGTAAGACACACAGCAACCCTCACACACATACACACCATGCCCTTGCTTGCACACTCGGTATACACACGTTCACACTTACACACATGAGAACTGTTGGTGGCGCTGGCATCAACTCACTTGGGCAAGATGAACTAGGGGTGTAACGGTACACGTATTCGTACCGAACCGTTTCGGTACGGGTCTTTCGGTTCGGTACGCATGTGAACCGAATGAATACAGTTTTTTTTTTTTTTCTACGGAAATTCAAATAATAAATGGCGTTTTGACAGTCTTTGATGTGGCATGACAGATCGCTGTATAAACGCCTTGGAGAGCCGCTTCTGGGACGGTTCAGAAACGTGCTGGTATATAATCCCAACACAAGCATTGACTAGAGCGGCCGTGATCAGCTCCGGTTCCCGTGTCTGAGCCGTGACGCCCCGCAGATTTGTGCAGAGCGGAGCGCAAGTGAACTATTTAATGTACAGTATGTTTAAATTAATCTGTTATGAAACATGCTATGACAGCCATTGTGTAATTGAATATATTTTAACAAATAGCTTAGAAATTTTATTATTTATAAATTAATTTAAAAACTGCATTATGAGCAGTTTACATGTTTGCATACAATTATTTATTTTTTAAAGTTGAGTGTTGATCATCTATTTAAAAATAAATAGTAATTAAATTTAAGTTTGGGATAAGTTGTTAGGCCTAATTGTAGCCTTATAATGTAAAAGGGCTCCCTATAGTTTTAAGAATAAGCTGAGGTAGATTTTTATCACTAAGAACATTTAAACTATAACAATGTATTTAAAGAACGAGCAACTTGTTCAGTAAACCATGTAAAAAAAAAAAAGTTTTTCCCCCTGCTGTACCGAAATCATACCGAACCGTGACGTTAAAACCGAGGTACGCACCGAACCGTCATATTTGTGTACCGTTACACCCCTAAGATGAACGGTGTAAATTACATGGTTATTTATAATTCTCTGGGTTTTTGAAGTCCCCTTCTTGTACACATACACAGAAACACACATTCCAGTTGCAGAGTTTTATTTGATTGTCCTATGTATTGACTTTAGTCAGGGTTGATGCCATTTTTAAAGGGATAGTTCAGTCAAAAATGTTTCATGTTTCATGTTGTTCTAAATCAGTATGACTTTCTATCTGTGGATCACAAAAGTAGAAATTTCGAAGAATTTGCTGGCCAATATTTCAATGCAACTGCAATGAATGGGGACTGAAGCTTTCAAGCTTCAAAAAGAACAAACAAGCAACATAAAAGTACTGTATGACAAAAGTGAGCCATTTGACTCTTGTGCTATATTTTAAGTCTTCTGAATATAGATTTGCCCTAGTGTTCATGAGAGAAGTCCCAGTGTCTGATTCATGAATGAATGGTCCTTTTAAATCTGACACTATTATCTTGCTACAGCTGCTTTATAGCAGACTTCGTATTTGCCTCATTTTTGAAGTTTGTATCCTTGATTCTGTTACTTTCCTTTTTAATACTGTGAAGATGCTTTGAAACAAGCTCTACTGTATAAAGTGCTTTAAAAACAAAGGTGACTTGACTTGAATCTGATCTTTTCAAAGAATCAGTTAATCTACTGTAGTTCATAAAACTGGTCTGAATGATTCGTTCATGAATTGGCCTGGTCTGATTCTTGAGACTTTTTTTCAGGATTTTTTGTTGAAAGAAAGTTCAAAAGAACAGCATATATTTGAAGGCGTTTGAAATCTTTTGTAACATTATTGTCTTTACTGTTATTATTAATTATTAATATACATTATTAATGTCTTTACTATCACCTTTTTGATGCTCCATTCCCCATTCATTAAAATTGTATGGAAAGGAGCAGCCAGCACAGTATTCAGAATATCTTTTTTGTGTTGCACAGGAAAAGAAAATCATACAGGCTTGTAGTGGCATGAGAGTGAAATGAGGATGAAAAATTTTTAATTTTTAGATTAAATATTTTCATTTTTTACAGCTAAAAGTGAGGCTGTGAGGAATAGAACTACAAATCAATAGGTTGTACTCTTGTGTCTCATTTAGCCAACAAAAGTGGAAAACATATGTTTGAAAATTACATTAAGACTGTACATCCATCCCTCACAGCCTCGTTTTCATTGGGCCGTTTAACGTTACACGACAACATTTTCAGCCAAAAACGGGAAACTTGTTATGCGTTTTGCCTGTTCGTTTACACGACAACAGCGTTTTGGGGACTGAAAACGCATATTTTTGAAAACGGGTTTCAAAGTGCAAGTTTTGTGAAAGCGCCACCGTTGTCGTTTCCGTGTAAACACCCAAAACGGGAATCTTTGAAAACGGTGACGTCATGCGCATGCGTAGTACATGTTAGGTATGTAGACATGCGCAGTACGTGTCGATTTTAAAGGCAAGCGCAAACAAACATACTGCTCAAGAGTTTGATAACGCTTCTTCAGCAAATTGTGGATTTACTTCACCAATATTACAACCAACAGCGGAGATGCATCATATACAACATATAATCGTCACTTCCCTACAGGTACTGTTTACTAACAAGGTGACAGCGCCAACTACTGGCCTGGCATACGTAATACAGCATTTTTGTCCTTTTTTTCACGGATGTGTAAACGCTAATCGTTTTGAAAACGTTGTCATGTATAAGTGAAACTTTTTAAAAGCACAAGGGAAAAACGTTTCCGTTTTTGACTACATCGTTGTCGTGTAAACGTAGCCTAAGGTCCATTCCTCCTTTGTCTTCTCTTTCTTTTTTCTTTCTTCCACCCTCTGTTTCTCTATCCTGGTAGTGTGAAGTATCCTGTATACCCCCCACCACCGCCATCTAGAGTCGACTCCCTGCGAACAGGATAAATAATTCAGTCTCTTCCTTGTTCTTTGAGATGGGCCTCCACTCCTGGCCCTCACCCCACCCCCCATCAATAGCACATTAATATTGTAGAGCCTCTCGCCACACAGCGCCCTCACAAACACATACAATACAATACAATACAATGCAAAGCACACTGACTGTGCAGAAAACCAAAACGACTGTGCGTAGATGTGAACTCACATGTGCATACCCACAAAACACAGTGACTTATCAATTTTCAAAGACACTTCCGCTTCCTTTCTCCAGGAAAAAACACACACATACACACTGCATATTAGAGCACTATGGCTGTACAACATATTCTTACAATGGTAAAAACACTCCAATTAGCTGTAAAAACACATGCACAAACACACACACACACACCCATACGACCTATCCCTCATCCGTTCAGCGCTGACATGTTTCAACAGAGCCCTGAAAGTTGGCACGAGTCTCTCGGGGAGCTTCCCACAGGCCTTGACCACAGAAGTGGCATCGGGTTTTGTCTCTAGACACGCAGCCACACGGCGCTAATGGTTTGTATGTCAGGACGCAGGCACTATACTGCCCTCGTTTGAGTTGTTGTGGTCACTTTCCATCCTGACCAGACTTTCACTTGAGAAGTGTCTAAGTGCAGCCACTTGAGTTCTGACGTTCCTGATGCTCTCCTATGTGTTCGTTGAAACACCACAAGAGTGTATGTGTGTGCACGTTTAAAAGGCGGAATGGGAGCAGTCTGTGTTGACGGACAGAAGGAGTGATGTCAAATTGTACATATTTGATGTCATCTTGCATTGGCTTCTGCTCTCTGTGCATCTGTCTGTCCATTCCATCTGCTATAGGCTGGCCTGCTGCACTCATTTATTCTGGTCTTTACAACGCTCTCGCTTTGTTCTTAAATAGGGCAACATGTTGCTAATGATGCCTTTTTCTTCTTCTTCTTTTAGCCTTTTATGTCTCCACGGTACCCTGGTGGACCTCGGCCGTCTCTTCGCATGCCAAATCAGGTACAGAAAACATCATCACACCCCATCATGTTGAATTTGCAAATAAACAGTTCTTCCATTTTTACACACCTCTTAAGGGTCACCGAAATCAAGAAAATCCTGGAAATGTCATTTTAAAAGGCCATGGGATTTTCTGTTCTGAATCAATGTTTTGTTGTTGTTATGTATGACTCTAATATATTTTATTTGCTAGAAATTTAATTGTGTGAGTGTTATCTAGTGTGAACTAAAAATAAAATGATGAAATTGTTTTTTTTTTATTGAAAATAATACTAAAATTAATATAAAATATAAATATTTGATAAACTATGCAAAAATATGGCAGCTAACTTGTTGAAGCTAAAAATTTGAAGTACAAAAATAAATAGAAATAAGATAGCTACATAGAAAAAATTCATCTATATTTATATATACAATGAGAAAAACAAAATTAAAATTTTAACTCTAAAAATAAAAGCTAATTAAATACTATAATCGTATAATAAATATACTAAAATAACATTGGTGCCTTGTCTTTAAGGTGGGAAACCTAACAGTAGTTGTTTCTAACAAACATTTGCATACATATGCATGTGACAGATGTTCATACATGCCTATGATGCCCCAAAATGCTAATATAAAATGATTTTATTTGCAAATAACATGTCGTATGTGTGTAAATAGATTTTTAAATTCTATTTACATTCATGAATGAATGTAAATTAAATTCATTTACATTCATTCTTCGTTATAAATTTAAATGACTTCTGTGTGCTTCCAGTGATGTTTCTGGTCTCTGTTGTTCTAATACAAAGTACTGTAGCAATAGTGACATTGTGTAAAGATTTGTAAGGCCAGTTGTGTAAAAGGTTATTGAATTTATATTTTATACCAATGGACTTCCATTGAAAATAAAGGATAAAAGGAATTTGTTCCTTTTACATGATTCCAGTATAGATAACGAAGTTTGTCACCTCCAGTGTAAACATGATGTACGTTTTCTGTAAAACACTTCCTATGTATTTCACTGACCTTCCTTCATTTATGTCCTCTTCAGCCTCCTGTAGGGGTTCCAGGTTCACAACCACTCCTGCCAAACAGTTTGGACCCAACCAGACCACAAGGTAGCTTGGTTCTTGGTTCAACACTTCATAACCACAGAGTAATTTACATGCAGACTGATGAATGACATATTATCGACTGTGTAATATTTTTACAGGACATCCTAACATGGGCGGTCCAATGAGAATGAATCCTCCCAGGGGGATGGGTGGCATGGGCCCTCAGGTAGGCACATATTGTTGCTCACTTTCATTTATCCTTTTGTAGCCGCCCCCAAGTCAAATGCCACAGGACTTAGATAGTCAGAAAACCTGTTACTCCTCTTTAGCCACCTGTGCTGAAAGCAGAGTTCTCACCACTTCTCTATTTCTCTCTCTCTCTGCCCTTCTCGTTCTTGGCAAACGAAGTGCCGCACAAATCAGCAGCTGGTGCAGCATCTGTTTGACAAATTAGGTAGAGCGCAAAACAAAAGCTCGGGTTAGAAAGCTTCTGTCACACTTTGCCCTCCACCCACGGGCAGCCAGACAGGTGGGCCGCCGTCTGCCTGAGCAGAACTTTGTTAGCATAGTGTCATTCGCATCCCAACCTGTTCGGTTGGATCCCCACTACTATGCATGACAGTGGATGAAGGACAGGGTTTCCTGCAGCGCATAGTTGCTGCGTTTTCAGCCCCACAGCAGAAGAAAAAATATTTAGTTTCTAAAAAACTTAATACCACAAAATAATGCCAAGACAACAACACATCTTTTCAATTCAGTGTGCATTTTACATATTTATTATTATTATTATTATTAAATATGAATTAAATATTTTTAAATTACATTTATATATTTATTTTAATAAATGTTTTTGTATATAATTATTAATGTACAGTATATACACACACACACACACGTATAATTAGAATATAAAATGTAGTTTATTTTAATAAATGTATTTATATGTAATTATTAAATATACAGCTATAATGTTTGATAATATTTTTTAATGTTTTAATTTATTTTAATACATTTATTAGCATGTAATATAATTCTTATATATACAATTAGAATTACTATATAAAATGTATTTATTTACTTATTTATTTATGAATGCATGCAGTTATGCTGGTGAATGTTAAAGGGGTCATATGATGCGATTTGAAGTTTTCCTTTCTCTTTGGAGTGTTACAAGCTGTTCGTGAATAGATAAGATTCCTAAAGTTGCAAAGACTAAAGTCTCAAACCCAAAGAGATATTCTTTATAAAAGTGCACGATGCAACGCAACGTGTAAAAAGACAGTATAAGTCATTATAATCAGTAATTATGTCTCCACTGGATGCAACAAATGCCTCGTTTATAATGGGTTTTATTTTATTGGTTTTGTCTCGTCGTGCCGGGACACGCCATCAGGACTGTTTCCTGGGAGAGTAGCCTACAATGCCGGTGTTCTGACAGATAATGCTGACTCACAGCCTGTAAGTACTTTCAACCCATTGTAGAACTACGGTGGTATGAGGCCTCCTCCCAACTCTCTAGGTGGTCCAGGCATGCCCGGAATGAACATGTGAGTTCTTTAACATGAGAACACTCCCTTTTGCCATTTATTTAATCCTATTAAATCATGTTTGTTAACCTCCTTCTGTCTCTGTTCTGTATTTCTATCCTTTTTTGCTCTCCACCGCCCCACCTTCCAGGGGTCCTGGAGGACGTGGCCCCTGGCCAAACCCGAGTGCTAACTCGGTACGTTCACATACATTGCTATCTTTGTGGCTGACTTTACTGCTGAAAACGTACTGTGGTTGCACCATGATATAGCGATGGTATCAGATACCATTGTACTTCATTATATACCAAAGATTATTATATTCATATATCATAGTATTATAGTATTCTTATTATTAAGTGTTGTAGTTTAATTGTCATCAAAAATATAATGTATTCATTTTTTTTTTTTGGGGGGGGGTTGACAGATAGCATACTCCTCCTCATCTCCAGGCAACTACGTGGTGAGTACCTAACTTTAGTCAACGTTTTTGTAGTATATATTAATTGTCTTAATGCATAAAAAAGAAACAACTTCCAAGCTGTCTTTGTAATATTTCCTCAAAAATGTAATAACTTGCCCTGCAACTACTTTCATTTTTAGATTATGTGACAGCAATTTTTCAGGAGGAAAACAGTCTGATGGAAATGAAATAAAATTATTTGCAAATACACTTTCAAATTGACCATTCAAAGAGCATGTTGAAGAGATTTTCCGTTTTTTGCCTCTGCCATTAGCTCAAAGAAAAAGTGCAAAATTTAGTCATTCCTTTTGGAAACTAAAAGCATAACTAAGCAGATATTTAAGTTTCTAAATGTATTGATTTTGCTTTAGCAATTACTATCCTGCTTAGTTTTGCCCCTAGCATTGCCTCTCTTAAAAGTCAAATATCTGCACATTAGTCAAAGCAGCTTAATAGCTCCCCTGTGCCTAGTGTGTCTTTGTTTAAAAACTGCTCTTCTGGTAGATCTCTGATAGTACGGCAGGTACTATTACATACTGAAAAGCTAAGCATGTGTTTGTGTGTGTGTTTCCTCTCTCAGGGTCCTCCAGGAGGAGGTGGTCCACCAGGAACTCCCATAATGCCAAGCCCAGGAGGTACAGTAGATCTGTTCTGTCGCTCTCCCTTTTGCATATAATTCACACACTCGCTCTCACCTTGCCTCTATAATCAGCACAGCCGGAAACAGTTTGTGTCTCTCCAGGAAAGAAAGATGCTCAGCATTTCACAAACACTCTATTTAACACCCTCTCCCTCCCTCCCTCCCTACCCAGCAGCCAATATCACTGCAAGGTTACCTGCACTTCCTCTGGCAGGAAAACAAAACATGTGATCAGTGCCACCCCTCCCACTTTGTTAATGTAATTCCACTCCGAATGCTTGTGTTTGTGATGTTGAAGCAGAGATTATAGGTGTGAGCGGGGTCTCCCTTTCCCTTGCTCTCGCACTCTTACTCGCACACAGGCCTTAAATCATTAAAGAAACACATTTATTATGGTGATTAATCCCGTCCAACCATGTTCTGTATTGATCTAGTGTGCTATTAAAGCATTGGTCATCCATATATGCTTGGAAGTGATTCTGGTCTCTTATTTTGGTGAAGTTGTGCTGGTCTTGGAAACACATTTTAAAAGCTTTCTGCACTTTTCTCTTCTAGACTCCACAAACTCCAGTGAAAATATCTACACAATGATGAACCCTATTGGACCAGGAGGAAACAGACCAAGTGTATGCATTACTCCTGTCTAGATATGTATTTTCCAGAGTAGTTACACTGCCGTTCAAATGTTTGGGGTCATTAAGAATTTTTACGATGTTTTTGAACAAATTCTCTGTTGATTTGCTGCTCAAGAAACATTTCTTGTTTCTGTCCATTTTTTGGTTGATGGTTGTTTCTTAATGTATTTCTGTGGAAACCGCAGTACTTTTTTGTTAGAATTCTTTGATTAATACAAAAGAACAGCATTTTATTTAAAATGTAAATCTTTTGAAACATTACAGGTGTCTTTGCCTTCGCTTTTTATCAGTTTAATGCATCCTTGGTAAATAAAAGCATTAATTTCTTTCAAAAAAAAAAGTCTTACTCACCCCAAACTTTTGAACAGCAGTGTAAATATTTCTCCACGTAATGATTATTTTGACATTTCTAATGTATTTCCAAAGCCACAGCTAATTCCCAAATGTATTACGTTTGATTGTTTTACAGCTCTTTGGAATATTTGATTCTGATTGGTCGGTTGTGGCATTCAGCAGCCAAATATTTATATATCATGATTGCTAAACTGTAGAATCGATTGTTGTTTGATTGCCTTCGTACTGTAGCTGTGCTAGTTTCTCTAGAGCTAGAGTGTGCTAGTGCTCATTCTTCTTACATAATGCTACAATTTGAACTCAAATCAATATTTAATGTCCAATTATTTATTTATTTGCTTAAGTATTTGCTTGATAATGTACAGTCATTTATTTGCTTAAGTATTTGCTTGATAATGTACAGTCATTCAGTCATTATCACAAAATATTACGTTTGATTGTTTTACAGCTCTTTGGAATATTTGATTCTGATTGGTCGGTTGTGGCATTCAGCAGCCAAATATTTATATATCATGATTGCTAAACTGTAGAATCGATTGTTGTTTGATTGCCTTCGTACTGTAGCTGTGCTAGTTTCTCTAGAGCTAGAGTGTGCTAGTGCTCATTCTTCTTACATAATGCTACAATTTGAACTCAAATCAATATTTAATGTCCAATTATTTATTTATTTGCTTAAGTAGTCATGTAATAAGCTTGATAATGTACAGTCATTCAGTCATTATCACAAAATAAACCCCTTCAGTGTGATTTAAGACCTGTCTGGATTGACTTGTAATAATACGTGCCTGACTGTACATTATGCTTTATTTATATTAATCCTAATTGTCACATTATGAACATTGTTTTCATAAAAATGCAGGCATGCTCTTAGTGAAATCAAAGGGGACATGCTCATGCTTTTCAAATTAATGTTTGTATCTCACAAAGTGACGCAGGTTTATTTTTCTCAGGGCACTGGATGTGGGATGATTGGTTAAATATGATTGTTTCTCTGTGTTTCTCAGTTCCCCATGGGTCCTGGTCCAGATGGCCCAATGGGCGGCATGGGTGGCATGGAACCTCATCATATCAACGGATCATTAGGTAAGTGTTAAGATTACAATGTTAATCAAAATAATATCTATATCTGACTTTTATAAACCACAAAAGGCATTATTTAATAATATAATGTATACTATTTTTATTTCAGGCTCTGGTGACATGGATGGGTTGCCAAAGGTAAAGAAGGTTTTAGTTTGCGAATCTGTTTTTTTTTTTCTTTTCTGTTTTCACATCTCATCCTGAACTGTTCTTGTCAAACATCTCTTTCGCTTCAGAACTCCCCCAACAACATGGCAGGGATGAACAACCCACCAGGCACACCGCGGGATGATGGAGAAATGGGAGGAAACTTCCTCAACCCATTCCAAAGTGAAAGTGTGAGTAGATTCTGACCCAAACCCAGAGACCTGTCACTCCCCTCACCTGCCAATCATAAGCACTACCGTCCAAAAGTTTGCGGTCAGTCATGATTTAATTTTTTTTTTTTAAAGAAAGATATTAGTATTTTTATTCAGCAAATATAATTTCATCAAAAGTGACAGTAAAGGCATTGTTACAAAAGATTTCTACTTCAAGTTCTTTTCTATTCATCAAAGAATCCTGAAAAAAATGTTTCCACAAAAATATTTATATATTTATAATAAGAAATGTTTTTTGACCACCAAATCAGCATATTAGAATGATTTCTAAAGGATCATGTGACATTGATCATGAAGACTGGAGAAATGGCTGCTGGAAATTCAGCTTTGCCATCACAGGAATAAATTACATTTTAAAACGTATATTAAAATAGACAAGAGTTTATAATAATATTTCACAATATTACTGTTTTTACTGTATATTTCATCAAATAAATGCAGCCTTGGTGAGCATATGCTTCTATGATTTAAAAATCTCTCTGACCCCAAACTTTTGAACAGTAGTGTAGCTCCTCCCAGCAGGCACTCGGAAGGCCCCATGTTACTTAAAATAGACCAGAATATCAAATCAAAAAAAATTTTTTTAAGTGATTTGTAAGTGTTATTGATTCAGTCCAAGACTGAGTGCTGGAAATGACCAGCAGTTTCCTGGACAGACACTTTAGGGTTTTTATTTCCAAGTTTTCTGCCCTTTGGTTGCTGCTTTGTCAACAAAATGATGCATATTCTTGCTGTATGTTTGGGACGGTAATGACATAACCATCCTTTTATTTGCTCTGTGTGGAGTTCTCATGATCTCACATCCGCTATATATCCCCCCCTCTCCCCTTTGTCTCTTTCCAGTATTCACCCAACATGACGATGAGTGTGTGATTTCTTCTTATTTTATTGTTTTATTTGGGGTTTTCTTTTTTGCTTTGTTCAAACTCCCTCCGACCGCCCCGCTCCTTTTTTAACCCCGTCCCCTCTTCACGTCGATCAACCCCCCGCACCCTCTACCCACGGAACTCTGGCTTTTTCTGCACAGCCTTCTGGGATGCCCCACGAGCAGAGGACTCACATGAAAGTGGCCCATCCCAGCTTGTGCAAAATGGCCACCGGCAACAGGAAACAGTCCCAGGGCCACAGGAAGAGCTTGTTGACTGAATCTCCCTGCCTCCCGGACTTCCTCTCTGGTTCAGGACACTAACGGGGCTGAACACACACAGGAAGGCAGGTGTGTGTATGTGTTTGAGCAGACACACGCATCCCCGGGCTGCTCACTTTATGATCTTTATGAACTCACTCCACTTTTTTGATTCATTTTTTAAATCTTGAATGGATGCAGTCGTTTTTACAGTGGAAAATATCTGCACCTTTTTCCTCCATTAAATTGTGTAAATGCAAGAGGAAGCTCATTATGATGGGTTCGGCAATGAACGTTTTCATTATTCTGTATATGTATTGTATTATTATCAATTGTTGATTTTATTTTTATTAATATTGTATTGATGGTTATTGATTAGGTTTTCATCTTTTTTTGAAAGGGGCACATTATATGTAAACCACGAATTCGACAGGAAAAAGCACACATCCATAATGCACAATAACAGTGTCGTGACTTTTGCAGGAAGTCTACACTACGTTTTGTGTTTGCTGTGAAATCTTACCTCCCGCAGATTAAAAAGGTAGCCGTACCTTTTCTTCTACATCTCTAATATATATACAGGAAATGTAGTTTCATTGTCCCTGTCAAGTGAACGTCTGAGGCCAAGAAGCGCAAGGCCCAAACCAGCAGCGACTTTAACCTCTCAGACCAGCCTGTGTGTCCGACAACGCGTTTTGGAGTCTATCTGTAGAGAGGAAGTGATGTCATAACAGAGCTGAAAACATGCGGTCAAACAACTAACTAGCGCTGAACTTGACTCCAACACATGACAGATGTCTGCTCACCGTGATTCACAACTTATTTATTTGTTGTTTTTGTTCAAGAATTGATTTATCGCGCACACGTCTCGCATGCGACCCGTCAGGACATATTGTACACATGTAAATATGCCAGTCTAAGATACCTCCTGAAGATTTGTATCATTCTGTCCCTCGCCAGAGACCCACATGCTTTCCTTCTGCATGAATCTGAACAGGGTGTCTCTAGTCACATGACATTTCAGTACAAATGAGGTTCCTGTTGACTTGGTGCTCATCATACTGGATATTTTTTCAGGCGCGGGAATAGAGCCTTCCTCCTCAAACACATTTTGTGTTAAGTATGTGTTCCATATTATGTCTAATCATCTTCAAAAACATGAGATGTCAGTCACATCCTGTGCTTATGAGATGAGGGGATAATAATAGGACGTCCAGGGACTACTGAATGAGGGATATATGAACTAAATGTGCTCACAGACTGTTTCTCATAATATTGGCATGCATTTTTTTTTTCCGTTTTGTCTTTTGCATTTGGTGTATATTCTGTCTGTCTTTTAAAGGGATAGCCCACCCCAAAATGAAAATTCTGTCATTATTTACTTATGTCGTTCCAAAACTGTGACTTTCTAACTAAAGACTTTCGATTGCCATTGACTTCCATTGTCATTTTTGTCTATACAATGAAAGTCAATGGGAACTGAAACTTTTTGGTTATTATTCTTGTTATTCTGTATTTTTTCTGTATTGTTATTCTGTATCTTCAGTCTATTTTGTTAAAGAAGATATTTTGAAGAATGTTAGTAACTAAACTGTTTGGGTTCCCATTGACTTCCATTGTAACTCTTGCCCATAGAGTGTAAGTCAGTGGGAACCGAAACTGTTTGGTTACCAACATTTTTCAAAATATCTTCTTTTATTTTCCGCTGGAAGTCACACAGGTTTGGAATGACGTGAGGGTGAGTGATTTTTGGGTGGTCTTATCCCTTGAAACGAAATGTGTTTTTGGAAGTAGGGGTCTCAGTGAAATGGTTATTAGGGGTCAGAAGGAACCGGGAAATATCAGAGCTAAATGCTAAAATCCTCCTGCTGATTACATAAACACACATTAATCACACAGCACCTGTTTTTAAGTTCTCCACAGCTGGATGACACGATGTACACAGAGAAACACACAATTATACAGCATCTCTCTTATTTTTGTTTGTAAATACTGTAAAATGCATTTTGATATCATTGACATGTTTTGATATTTTAGTCACTACCAATGAATACTACGAGATCTTGGGGGTAAAAAAAAAATGTAAAGGAAGAACCCATGTTTGTAGTCACCATTCTCTGTCATTGACTCTGTACAGATGTACCAAATCATGCAAATGTAAAGTTTTGTCAGCCTCTACTTAGTAAACGGCGTCTTGAGCGCTCATGTTTTAAGTGAATAGGAAAGTAAGGGGTGTTTGAAGCAGTACCGTTCACTCCTCATAGACTAGACACTCACAGGAGGACATATGCGGAGGGCGAAAGCCTCACGATACATCCGTTCTCTCTTGGACGTGTCCTCACTTTGCACTTTCCAGACAGCAGCCCACCTTTTAACACATTGTCTATGTGGACATACATGAACACAGGATTTGTCTCTTTATGTGCAAAAGGGACCACCCATTGCAAACTTTACTATGAAGGATTTTTATCTATTTAAATTAAAAAACAAACAAAAAAAGGTTTAAAAACTCGTTCAGAGTAGGGATTTAAAATTAAAAAAAAGGTCATAAAAAGGAGGGATGTGTCCTTCCCGTTCTCTTGAGATAGTGTTTTATAGGTTGCGGTTTCTTCTCCTCGGCCAGTACTCTGTATGTAAACCACTCACGTCGTTGGCCATCTCTGTAATTCTATTGTGACGCTGTACGATACTGTAACATTAGTGAGGAGACGAGGTGCGGAGGGGCTTCAGATGCAGGAAAGGAAATAAATCCTCCACTGTTGTTCTTTCTGACAAACAAAACGCAGTATTGAGTATAAAGCAGTCCGTCTCCTAGGTTTGCTTTGTATTTCATGTTTAGGGTAGTTTGGATCCTTGTCTTAGGGACTCTTTCTGTCTTGTGTAGTAAATTAAGATGTTCTTTGTAACTTTCTTTATATTGAAAAGTTTCTTTTAGATTTAAAAGTTGCTTATTAAAAAAAAAGGATGGAAAAAGTGCTTCAATAATGTATTTTTTTCTCTCTTTGGTTTTGTTTTTTCATGGAGTTGTCGCTTATTTTTTTGCTTGTCCCTTGTTGTAGATACAAATTTAAGACTAATAAAATAACATAACCCCTTTTACCAAGACTTTCTGCTCTCCCAGCTCTTAATTTATTATTAAAACAATTGACTTTGAAATGTGTGGGTTCTTTTTATGCATCCTGTTCACTTCACCTGCTTTAGTAAAGTACCATTTTTAAGATTTTTACGTTTATTAGTCTCTTATGCTCACATTTCAATTGCAATTAGTTGATCAAAATTTTTTTGTATTAAACATTTAATATTGTGAAATGTTATTAAAATAGCTAATAACTCTATATTCTAAATATTTATTACTGTGATGGCAAAACAGTTTGCAGCATCATTACTGCAGTATTCAGTGTCACATGATCCATCCTTTATATTGTAAAGTTTCTTTTAGATTTAAAAGTTGCTTAAAAAAAAAGGATGGAAAAAGTGCTTCAATAATGTATTTTTTTCTCTCTTTGGTTTTGTTTTTTCATGGAGTTGTCGCTTATTTTTTTGCTTGTCCCTTGTTGTAGATACAAATTTAAGACTAATAAAATAACATAACCCCTTTTACCAAGACTTTCTGCTCTCCCAGCTCTTAATTTATTATTAAAACAATTGACTTTGAAATGTGTGGGTTCTTTTTATGCATCCTGTTCACTTCACCTGCTTTAGTAAAGTACCATTTTTAAGATTTTTACGTTTATTAGTCTCTTATGGTCACATTTCAATTGCAATTAGTTGATCAACATTTTTTTGTATTAAACGTTTAATATTGTGAAATGTTATTAAAATAGCTAATAACTCTATATTCTAATATATTTATTACTGTGATGGCAAAACTGAGTTTGCAGCATCATTACTGCAGTATTCAGTGTCACATGATCCATCATAAATCATTTTAATATGCTGAATTTTTTTATATCAATGTTGAAAACAGTTGTGCTGCTCAATATTTTATTTCAAAAATATAGATTTTTTTTCATAGTTCAAAATAACATTTGTTTGGTAAAGAAATATTTTGTAATAATATGAATGCATGTCTTTGCTGTCAGTTTTGAACAAATTAATGCATCCTTGCTAAATAAAAGTATTAATGTAATTAAAAAACAAACAAATAAAAATGACCCCAAACATTTGAACAGTTGTGTACATCTGTAGTTAATGGGACATTTTTTTTATTTTTTTGCATTACATTTTTTATAATGAGTATTTACATGCACATCTCACACTGATGATGCAAATTAACCTGATAATATATGAGGTCATAAATGGCTTGGCTTAAACAATGTTCTTTTCTCAGGAAAAGTTCATAAATCATTTTTAAATTCTATATTCAGATTCCAATTTGCATTTCGTAGTATTTTATTATTGAAAATGTCAGTAAATTAATTTGCTTCAAAAGTGTCAGGAAAGACTTTAACATTGTTACAAATGTAAAGTAAATAAATGCTCTTTTGCTCATGTTTCCACAAAAGTATTCATGTTTTCCACAAAAATATTACACAGCAAAGCCGTTTTCGACATAATAAAATAGTCAAAGTCTGCTTTATTGTCAATTCTGCCACATGTACAGCACATACATACAGAGACTTGAAATTGCGTTACTCTCAGACCCTTGGTGCATACAGTTAACACTAACAGTAGACATAATACAGAAAAATACAGTTTAAATATATATAGAATACAACCTATACAATATACAAATAAGGACATTGTGTAAAAAAAAAAAGAAAAAAAAAAGAGAGAGAGAAAAAGTGTCATAAGGCACATGGCAGTTATAGTGCAAACCAGTGATATAAACAACTGTGCACTCTAAAAAATGCTGGGTTAAATACAACCCAGTGCTCAACCCAATTGCTGGGTTTGTCCCTATTTTACCCAGCACTGGGTTGTATTTAACCCAGCATTTTTTAGACTGTGAAGATATAACGAGTGTAGTGCAAAAGAGCTTATCAGCCTGTTAAAGTGATAAAGAGCTCAGAGAACAGTCTTTAATTAAACTGTCAGAGAGGTATGCAAATAAATGTTTCTTTAGCAGCAAATCAGCTACGCATCACATGAATACATTTTCAAAATAATAAAAAAAACGGTTCTTTTAAATTGTAAAAATATTTCACAATATCACATTTTTTATCAAATAAATGCAGCCTTTGCTAGTAAAAAAAACTTTTTTTAAAAACAATTTTAATATATTCTAGAATATAATATATTAATATATATAATAAAATATATTTGAATTATTCAAAACGTTTGACTGTTATATTTCGGATTCTTGCGTTTCTATGGCAGACATTGTGAAGGTGTGTGTTCTGTGGACATTTAACCGGCTCTGCTGGTGAGGTTTCTGGTTTCATCCTCTCTCTCGTCCCCTGAGAACTGTGTACAGCTCCAACATCAATCTCTCTGGCAGGAAGTACCCCTCTCTCGTGTGGCTGAAGAGGAGGGCACGGCCGTTATAAATCACCACTGCTTTTCTCCTAGGGAAGAGTGTGAATATTAATTAATGTGGTGAAACAGTGACCCTTGGGCCACAATTAATTTCAATTGAGTGGTGCCAGCGAGAACTCGTACAAACAGCACTCCAAGGTTATGATGTCCCTGAGGTATAGAAATATTCCAGCTTCCAGATTATACACGATTCTCGTGATGAAAAAGAAAGTGCTGATTGAAATGTCGCCTCCTTACAGATTTAGCAGTGTCAGGCGCATGGGAACCACACTGCAATTGCTTACAAATTAATTATTAAAATGCGCATTGAATTCATTCCTCAGATGTCCATGAGCTCTGAATCATGGATAAAGTGGGCTACACAAGGGCACAATATTTGTTTGCAACAATTTTGCAGGAATGATCGTTATCTAAATGACCTTTTGTAATAGGGGAGAATAAAAGCTTGAGCCTTCAGGAAGCAGAATGTTTGCAAGAGGCCGTGACACTTTGCACTGTTAACTAAAAAGAACATTATTTCAAACAGTATAGAGTATCAGTGTGTTTGATTTGTTTTTTTCGTAGTTATAAGCTTGTCATTGCTCACATATATTAATTAAATACATGTAGCATTGATATTATTGACCATATTTTTGATCTTTTATTGCATATCTTTGGTGGCATTGACTCATTCACAGGAAATTGTGCTATGGGTGGTTGAAATTATCTAAAAAAAAATGTTTTCAACTGTAAATAAGCTACATCTGGTTAACGCTGAAGTCTCAATTCATTTTTTACCAGGGCTGTTATCACTTTTAGGACCACATTAAAGAAATACCCGCTCTGATATTCAGATTAGTGGCAGGTTTCAATGGTCAATTAACTACTACGTGCAATCTTAAACTGCACTGCAATGTTTTACTGTCACAGAAAGTTAGAATTTTCTATATAGTTATAACAGTAACTATAAATGCGTGGATTTGGGAAGCATCACTGTTGCAGAGTAAATCACACATTACAAACAAACAAACAAATAAATAAATAAATTTAAGACATTATGCATCTCATAAAAAAATACAATACATAGACGGTGAAAACATACTATTGTAATTTTAAATGAAAGTACAAATTAGATCAGTTTTGCGTGGTTTATTCTAAATAACCTTTCTGAGATGCCCTGATATTACTAATTTTACTGAAACCGAAAACCACCCAATTTATTTATTGACAGCTCTCCTGTCCCCATGTTGAGAGAAATCAGAACATGCTACTCTATTACTAAAATAAATATGAATATGCATTAATTCATCTCACTCACTCACAAAAAAAAATTAAAACACAGATTCAGTATTCCTCAAAAATAAAAAGTAACTAAGTAACGTAATTAGTTACTTTTTATGGAGTAACGCAATATTGTAATGCATTACTTTTAAAAGTAACCTTCCCCAACACTGGTTACAGCTCGAATCAGACTTTTGACGTACTCGAAAGATGGTGAAGTCCAGAAGACGTCGTTTATCCTCCATACCGCAGGGCGGCGCAGTGTCCGTGAGTTCACTTGTGTTCCGGCTCAAAGGTTGTTTACATCCTCGTGTCGTCAGTGCTGTGAGGCCGTAAACTTCTACAAGCGAGGATCAAATAAACCAAGTAAGATCACACTTTCTGGTTCATATGTTACATATGAAACGTCAAATGCTAAAACGTGATGCTTTTATCTCTCGTGTGAGTGTCTGTCTTATCTAATGTAGCAGAGACCGGAGATAGTTGTCGTGCATCAGTATAATACATCAGTATTACATAACATACAATAAATACAGGTTTTGAGTCAAACTGTCCAATTGTACAAATGTTTTTTTTTCTCCCTTTTTTTGTAGAAGTGGTTTGGTATTAGATGTGACAAACACCTAGTTCAATATTGTGTTGACTCACAATAATTGTGTCAAATATTATGAATTGTATCTTGTATTTTTGCTGTAGATATTGGTTAAACAACTACAGTAAAAACAGCTTTTCTGTGCGGTTATTTCACTGTTTATTGATTACATAATTTTGGACAAAATGATATTTCGAATTATTTTTTTTTACGTTTCCATGTACAAAATAACTTCTCATCAGAGTTCAGTATAGACACTCACACACACACACTAATGCGGACAAACCTATGAACTGGTGTGAATTTAACACAGAGCAACATTTTTGCAAATGTATACAAAATTGCACAAACAAACCTTAAACTTTTTCACAACAGTAGCCTTTGATAATGTCTAAATATATGTCCTAATGCAGAAATAATAAGTAATTACGAAAATCATATTCTGTTCTCAGCACCTAGGAATTGCACAACTTATTGTCTCTACAACATAGTACATATTATTTTTATTACTAATCTGCCACCAAACATTTGGTTTTAAATGCATTTGCTCTATTTTAAATTAAATGCTGTATTAATTGAAAAATAATATATTTTATTTTTTAATAGAAATCAATAGTGTTTAATTTAGAGGTGAATGTTGTTTAATAGCATGAAAAAAATAGAAAATATTAAATAAAAAATATTATTAAACTAAAATATAATACATTAAATTTACTGAAATAATATGTAATGCTTATTGTCTTTGGGCAGTTTTGACTGCCAAGATCACAAGTGTGACCCAAATTTAAAAATACCATGAAAGAATTTGATTCGCAATCATTGTATGTTTTTCTGCAGTCATGTCGTACACGTGCATCAGCTGCCGTGTGCAGTTCTCTGATGGGGAGGTCCAGCGGGCACATTATAAAACCGACTGGCACCGCTACAATCTAAAGAGAAAGGTTGCAGACATGCCTCCGGTCACTGCAGAAAACTTCCAGGAGCGAGTGCTGGTGCAGCGGGCGGCAGCCGAGCAGCAGAGCCAGAGCAGCGGACAGAGCTCAGCCTACTGCACCACCTGCAACAAGAAATTCTCCACTGACAATGCTCACAGCAATCACATCCAATCCAATAAGCACCAGCAGGCTGAGAGGAAAGCCCTGGCCGCCGCCCAGGAGACTGTCCAGCGAATGAACGAGAAGAATCTGGAGAAAGGGGCGGAGCTAGATAAAGACGCACAGAACGAAGCACTTCAGAAAGCACTCGGGGTGCAGCAGAGACACACCCCCTCTAAAGCCACAGAGAAACGGGTCACAATGCGGCCAGACAAACCACCTCGGCTGCAGTGGTTCGAGCAGCAGGCCAAGAAGATCACAGCGGAGGAGGGTGAAGAAGAAGAGGAGGAGGAGGGTAAGAATGATTTACAATAAAACACACTTTTAATTTCAGTTTTTGAATTTAAAACTACTGTATTGACATGATTGTGTTTACATACAATATTGCCTAAGCATTATACACAAAACAAATAATGACAAGGAAAATAAAATATTCAGTATAATAGTAACAAATAACAATAAAAATTGTATTCAAGTAAGGTACTAAGTAATGAATAAAAATAAGATAAAAAAAATCAACAATATAACTAACAAAAAACAGTAAAAAAATATTAAAATAAGGTGCTAGGTAATAATAAAAATAAGATTAAAAATAATAAAAAATACAATAAATAAAATACAATAAAATCACTGTGTTGCCTTGCCACTGTCACTTTTGGCTTGCTCTATTATCTCCTGTCGAGCTGCTTTACACCTGAAATTCAATTAGTTCCATAATTGATGAATTTTAAAACATAAAAGCTGCAATTGTCATGTTTAATAATATGAAGCTGCTTTGAAACAATCTGTATTGTAGAAAGTTCCATTTAAATAAATCTGACTGGTTTGCTTTGAAACGGCTAATTAAGTATCTTTGTTTTTCTTTGAAGAATGGGAGGATGTTGATGAGGATGAGGATATGGATGGTGATGAAGAAGAGGAGGAGGACTCCACATCTGGGGCAGCTCTGGCCCCCGGGGCAATCCCAGTGACAGACTGTCTGTTCTGCGGACATCATTCACACTCACTCACCCGAAACATGACACACATGTCCAAAACACACAGTTTCTTTCTCCCTGATATTGAGTTTCTGGTGGACCTGAGAGGACTTATTTCATACCTAGGTAAGCCAGAGAGAGAACTGAAGTTATGAACATTTTTTTTTGTTTGTTAGAAGTTGTCTTTCAAAATATTTCTGGCATTAATCAGTATGTTTCTCTGTAGGAGAGAAGCTTGGTGTTGGTAAGGTGTGTTTATGGTGTAATGAAAAAGGGAAGTCATTCTATTCTACTGAAGCGGTTCAGGCACACATGACCGACAAGAGTCACTGCAAACTATTCACAGATGGAGACGCCACACTTGAGTTCGCTGACTTCTATGACTTCAGGTACACAGACATTTGGAAAAAAATCCTTTGAACTATATATTTATATAATATTTAAATGTGAGCAATAATCATTGTCCCTCTAAACATACAGGAGCAGTTATCCTGATGCTAAAGATGGAGATGATGTGGAGATGAAGGATGGTGAACTGCCTGATGAAAAGGCTGTAGAGTTTGATGATGAGACGCTGGAGCTCACTTTGCCCTCAGGTACTGATGGACAGCTATATTTACAACATTATGTTATGACATTTAATTGATGTTTAGATAAATATTAAGCATGCCAGGAAATATTTGCATTTGAAGAAGATTTACACCTAACTGATTCCATCAGGCTTTTACTCTTGAAAGTAAATTTCTCCTGACTTGATCATTTAAATCGAAATTGAAATGCATATAAAACCAATCTTTGTTTTTGCTGTGTGTTTCAGGTGCTAAGATTGGCCATCGCTCCCTAATGAGGTACTATAAGCAAAGGTTTGGTGTTCAGAGGGCGTTGGTTCCAGCTCATAACCAGAAGGCTGTTGGTCGAGTCCTTAAACAGTACAAAGCACTTGGATGGGCAGGAGACTTTGGTAAGTTAGGTTTGCAAAGTCAGGACTGTCAAGAGGGGCCCAGTAAAGATTTTAGTGATGGTCCAGGCAAGGATTTATCCAGCATTTGGTTTTGTAGATGTGGCAGATCATGTGGCTCTTCCTTTCCTGATCTTTGTCTGGTGTGTTATTTCGGATGGTTTACTTTATTTCTACACCACTTCCTGTTTAAACCGTGTCTTCTCTTGGAGGTAAAGGCTTTGTGAGCCAGCAGCAGAAGGACATGCAGTATATGCGGAGGATGAAGTCCAAGTGGATGCTGAAGATGGGCATGAACAGTAACGCCACCAAACAGACCCATTTTAGAGCTCAAGTCATGTTCTAAACCAATCAACCTTCAGCACTAGTAGACATTCAACTTTTCAGAGTTCATAGCCGTATTCTGTGTGTTGATTCAGCTGAGATGTGAACTGCTGCTAAGGTGGAACATCATACATGAATGTTTAAGGCAACATCCATAGTGTATAAGGAAACATTGTGCTTTAGATATCCAAATCATGGAGATTCAAATTATGTGCTTTTCCAGCATCAACATGAGATTGCTGTTCATAATGACCTTTATTACCATTTCCAAGTTTAATACTCCTCGTAAAAGACAAAACATTATGTAGAACAACTTCAGATTTATAATACTGTATAAATTATCAATAAAACGAGCAATGCCTGATTTGATGTTTGGTATTTCTTTCAGAAAATAAAGATAAAATATTGTCAGTTAAAACTTACACAATTTTATTGTTGTATAATTTGTGTGGCAGAAATTATAAAAAAAGGTACAATAATAATACAGGAACCAAATGCTTATCCTCTGAATAAATGTGCGCCATTGTACTCCTGGCCGATAGACCGCGCTGTTTCACCTTGTAATCCTGTTGCAGAAACTCAAAGGTCACGAGGAAGTTAATCATAACATTGAATAGACCTGTCTTGAAGGAAAAAGATTAAAGCAGCACTATGTAACTTTTTCTGTTCAAAATGTGCAAAATGTATATAATGAGCGAGTACATCATGAATTTTTTCAAGACGCGTTTCTGTCTTATTCCGAATCACTACGGTACACTTATAAGTACTTATATTTGGACTATTGTAGCCTGGTCGGGTCGTCACCGCTGCGGAGTAACACATACCTGCGTGAATCGCCATAGACATACCGGTAAACTTGGAGAAGTAGCTCAGGTTGGAATGTTCTTCCTCGGGATGTGTGCAGTTCTGTTTATTAACCGCTAGAGCGCCAAACGTTACATAGTGCTGCTTTAAGTGCCTTTGTGATATAATGTGAAATCAGCTGAAACTCCCGTCACTTCTGACACAGTAGGTTTCCTACCCAATATGTTTTGTCTCCAGATTTTGAATGATAATTAACTGAAGGATCAAAGCACCAGCATGTATTTAAGTCAGGTGTATTAAATCTGTTAACCCTTTAATGTAACATGCAGACAGAAACCATGGGAAATTGCGTTTTGTAATTTTTTGGGTCAATATTTTGTCGTTATGAGTCTCTACCAAACGGTTTGCTGCCCATCAATAATGTTGTTATAATTCTCCAGTGACGTAAAAGAAATAAAAGACTGTGTTATATAGTAATATGTCTGAATATAATATATAATATCATTGTTATATTCTGATATAAACTTTATAGGTTTGTGTTCTGATACATTATTATTATTACTTTATTCTGCAACATGTAAACGGATTGCCATCACCAGATTAAAATATGATTATTGTATACTGTGATCAATGAAATAGATTTGCTGGTGCATTATTTCAACCATTTATTCCTTAACATCCCTATGCTGCAAGACTGAAGTTATTGTCTGTCTGTCTATTGAATGATAGTTTTAAACTAAAACTTAAGTACAATATTTGCAGTTAGAAATGTAAGTAATCTGTGTCATGTTCTCTCCACCACAGATATGGTGATCTTCTTTGAGAAGTTTGCAAGACTTTCTCTGAAGTCCACTTTTATTTGGTCACTGTGCCCACAGTACAGCACTGCTCTCACTACAGTAGGCAGAGCTCTGATAGTGCGCTCCAGCCAGCTGATTCAGCATCGCTATGTGCACAGCAGAGGGTTGGGAGCCAGTCCAGCCAACCCGGGTGCTGCCCCACCACGGTTACCCTTCTCCAGGGTCACACAGGAAGACCTTGCTTTCTTTAGAACACTGCTGCCTGGAAGAACCATCACTGATCCAGACCTGCTGAAGTCCAGCAATGTAGACTGGCTTAAAGCAGTGGAAGGTGAACTCAATTTGCATTTCCTAAAGAATAGTTTCAGAGTTTTATGTATGTTCTATCTAGAAATGAGTGCTTGTCTCAGTTCAAACGTTTTCAGGAAGAGTTTAAAACGGTAAGTTTGTTAAATATTATTATGATTTAAAACAACTGTTTTTATTGTAATATATATTAAAATGTAATTTATTTCTGTGATCCAAAGTTGAATTTTCAGCATCATTACTACAGTTTCACGTGATCCTTCAGAAATAACTTTAATATGCTGATTTGGTGCTCAAGAAAAAAAATCCTTGTTATTGTCAGTTGAAAACATTTGTGCTGCTTCATATTTTTGTGGAACAATTATTTCAGGATAATTTGATGAATAGGAAGTTCAAAAGAACAACATTTGTTTAAAATAAAAATCATTTGTAACATTCGAAATGTCTTCACTTTCACTTTTGATCAATTTAATGCGTCCTTGCTGAATAAAAGCATTATTTCTTTCAACCAACAACAACAAAAATAATTTAAATGGTAATGTGTTTATATGTGACATATAATATGATATAAAAACATAAAAGATGAAATCAAGCTAAAGATTCAGCAGATTCTAAATACAATCTACAGATAGTATTTAGTACTGTTTAGACACATTAAGCATAGTGTTTGAGAATCAGTAATTAAGATTAAAAGTGGCAATATTTTAATGAATGGATGTGTTTTTCTTGAAGGTAACAGTGAAGTACTCCTGAGACCCAAAACAACTGAAGAGGTCTCTCAGATTCTTAGGTCAGTTTTCCATGATCACATTGAATTGTACAGCTGTATTTTGTTACAAGAATGGTTTTATCAAATCATCCAATGTTTTTCACAGGTACTGTAAATGAGCGGAATCTGGAGGTGTGTCCACAGGGAGGAAACAGGTCTGGTTGGAGGAAGTGTCCCTGTTTTTGATGAGATCATCCTTTCCACTTCTTTAATGAACTTAATGAGTCATCACATTCGACAACATCTCAGGTGTTCATATACCGTATATGTGTTTGCTAGATCACCTTGTTATCTATTATAACTTTTCATGAAGCACCTATCATTAGAGACAAATTTAAATATAAATAACCAAGTCAAAATCGTTATACCTTAAGACATTTCTTAGAAAGAGAATTGTTTGGCTTCCAGGTATCCTCACTTGTCAGGCAGGCTGTGTGTTGGAGAACCTGTCTAACTATCTAGAGGAAAGAGACATCATCATACCGCTGGATTTAGGGTTGAAGGGAAGCTGCCATATTGGAGGGAATGTGTCCAATAATGCAGGTGGTCTGACTGCTGCGCTACGGGTCGCTTCGAGGGACAGTTCTGGGCCTAGAAGTGGTGAGGTCCTCCAGTTTAACAGAAATGAACACCAACATGAGACACTTTACAACTGTGAATGTGTGATTGATCAGTGGATCTCAACCGTTTGCCACTCCAAGCCCCAAATTACATTTGAAGGCCCCGTGACTGGTCTAGTTGTTTCTTATTTAATTGATGAGGATTTTATTAACTTTTACTCGCAGTTTCTACCTGATAAAATATTTTAGAGGTTGACTCAGAAGAAACATGGGGAAAAAAATGTCCATGGAATTATAATGTTTTATTAATTTATATGATGTTTCCAGATCTAGAAATCACAATTTTGAAAATCAGGCTGCCTTATAAATCCATGTTTTTCAAGACAGTGGCAAACATAACATTTCTCTTTAAAGAAAATAAAGTCGTTGAAAGAGTGAATTAAAATAAGAAATATCTTGATTTTAGTTGTTTCAGCATATTTTATTGATTTTGTTTTCTTGTAAATCATATTTAAGTCATCTTGAGGCACCCTTGAACATCTGCTGAGGCCCCCTAGTGGGCCCCGGCCACTCTGATAAATGATATTCCATCGAAAAACACAAGTGTCATAAGCATATATTTTTTGCTCATATGATTATTTCAGATACTGTTTGATGAGAATAAACTCATGCTTTTGTGGTAGACTTGAATCAATGAGAGGTAGAAATCATGCTCTTTTTATATGATGAGAAAGATCTAAATGGCTTTAAGTTGTATTCTTGTATGTCTTGCATTTGTAGGTTTTGGCATATGGGCGGATTTTGAACTGCCTGGCCACACTTCACAAGAACAACACTGGTTATGACCTCAAGCAGCTTTTCATTGGCTCAGAAGGGACATTAGGAGTTATTACTGCAGTTTCCATCCTGTGTGGCTGCATCAACTTATTGCTGTTCCCTCTGTGTCCTGCAGGGTGCTCCAGCTTCCAGCAACTGCTGGAAACATTTCAGTGTTGTAGAGGGATGTTGGGAGCGGTCCTGTCTGCTTTTGAGTTTTTAGATGCCTCCTGTATGAGCCTTCTGGAGAAGCATCTGAAACTCACCAACCCCATCACAGGTAAACACTAGTGTCATTATTGTTACAAAGACAACTTTGGGTATCTGTGTTCTGAAAGTCGAGATGTAAAGGAAGTAGTAACTAATTCTTTTGTGACACATCCAAGTGAGGTGGATAATAAAAAAAAAGTAGGGTGGGGACTTTGAATGCGAGCTTACAGGTCGATTGTAAGAAAGGGGCGGTGTTTAAGCAGACTGTATGATTAGAGAAGTCCAGCATATATCACCAGAGAGAAGGCTGACCAGAAGATTGAGTTATGATATTGTAATTAAAAATTATTAAAAAAAAAACATGCATGGCTGAATTGTTCACAATAAGATCAATAAAATGCATTTAGAAAACAGATATATGCCAACTTTAGGTTGGTAGATCTTTTAAAAATATTGGATAACCCTAAATTCTGTTTTTTATTGGTCTTATTGGAATGTGTTGCAGAAAGTCCCTTTTACAGACTGCTGGATCCAATGCCACCCATGATGAAGAAAAACTACACAACTTCCTTGAGGAGGTCATGACATCATCTCTAGTGACTGATGGGGACCGTTGCGACAGAGGCGACAAAAATTAAGGCACTCTGCTCACTTGTTGATTAGCAGAATTCAACATGTTTTTGAATTTGACATTTGTTCTGTCTAGAGCTGAAGATTTTGTGCCATACCTAGGCATTGTGGTCTTTGAGGGAGAGAGTCACAGAAGCTCTTACACACGAAGGCTTCACCTACAAATATGACATTTTCCTCCCTGTGGAAAAGATCTACGATTTAATCCAAGACATGAGGGGGCACCTTGGAGACATGGCCAAGAATGCTGTAGGCTATGGACATGTTGGTATGGCTACCTTTTTTGTCTTGCTGTAATTGCTGGACTGTTTTGAGTCTGAAGCTGGATTTGACAGATGTTGGCAAGTGTATGTTGTCTAGTGTTTTAAAGTCAGTTCAAATTTTTGAAAGCTGTCTAGTGTATTTTTGATCAAATAAATGCAAGACTGACGACTTACAAAATCATTAAACAATCTTACCAACACCAAACTTTTGAACAGCAATGTACTTGTGTACAAACCCTTAAGCAGATCCCCTCAAACCTTGCCATAATTCTTTTGGTGTTCAGTATTTCTTTTTGTTTTGTTTCAGGTGATGAAAATATTCATTTAAACATCACTTCCCCCTTTAAAGACCCCGCTCTACTGGCTGCCATTGAGCCATATGTCTATGAGTGGACATCTGAATAGAAAGGCAGCATCAGTGCAGCGCATGGGCTCGGTCTGAAGAAGAGAAATTACATTTATTACAGTAAACCTTCAGAGGCTATCACCCTCATGGGCAGCATTAAAGCCGTGCTGGATCCTAAAGGCATTCTCAACCCGTACAAAACACTGCCAGACAACATACACTAATAGTTTAATGGTTTTTATGATTTATATGAAAAATCAGGTTTTTATTTGGCCACAGTTTTATTGTAATACTGTCAGTGTATTGAATGGACTGTAAAAGATCACACTCAAAGTATTTAATTTGATCAGTCTTGTGTTTTATTATTATGGCAGGTTGGCATTCCATATTTTATAAGTCTTGCTTTAAATCTACACTGTTTGTATCTTTTGGTCCCCTAGCGGTTGAAGCTTAGAATTACAAGTTACGTGCGGAGGAATACTGTTTTGGTAATCGCGTGAGTTGTGCTTAGGCTCCGCTAGTCTGCGCGGATGAATCTAATGGTTAATGGTTACAGATAATCTGTGCGAATAAAACTAACATTAAACTCTTCCAAAAAAGAAAATAGATATTCACAAAATATGCCTTGTGAGCAGGTAAGTCATTGTAGTTTTGACCAGTTGAAATCAGTTGTTTTAAAATAACGCTACCAAAGTTAGGCAACGCTGACATTAGCCATAACCATATCTATTCATAATGTAACGGTGGAAACTATTACTTGGCAACGCTGTTTATAGGCAAATAGACCAAAGAAGTAACTGGTTTAGAGGTTGGCATTGCTACCAAGAAAAACTGTTTTGTGAGCCTAATCAGTGTACAGCAAACGTAATGCTATGCAAACTATGTTGATTCGTGTTCTATTGTGGGCAACATTGCTCTCCCTTTCCCTTGCTAACTCTTTTCCTTTCGACGTTACAAGCTACCATTACCTACTTCCACTACATTTAATAGTAGCTAGTGATGGCGCTTTCAAACCACTGCTTCGTGAAGCTTCGAATCCATCGCGAAACATCTTGTTTTGAACTAGATTCGGAGCACATACCTACCTGCCAAAGTCCTGTGATTTTCAGTAAACTAGGCTTCCTTATGTCTTAACTGTTTCGAGACGTGGAAGTGGATCTATGTGGACCCATGGACCGTGAACCAGTGTCTGAGTGGTTTTTACCTGATCTCGGATCAGTTTTATACATTTGTAGACATTTTGAGTGACATTTATATAAAATTAAAAGGAAGTAGTTAATAGTCTCTTAAACCAAGCCTGCTTAACCAACCTCTCCTTAAAACAAACAAAACAAGCCCTACAACTAAGTTAAATTACTCATATTATACAGACACAATGTTATTTCTTTATTTAGGGATATGACAAACAAGCATGGACAATTGATGAAAATATACATAATTATCAAATGCTTACCATAGTGATTTAGGCTAAGGCAAAAACATGTTTAAGATGATGTGTGTGTTATGATGTTTTTGTTATTTAAATTTTGTTGATTTAGAAGAAACCACAAAGAATTGCAGCGTCTTTGAGCATTCATAAAAACAGTAGCTTAACCAATGGTTTTTGGGAAAGAACTACCTGTTGAAAGGCGTACAGTTAGGAATTGACATTATTTTTTGCAATTTTGTTTGATGGTGCATTGAAGCTATTGAGCCACATCAAATGAAGACCATCTAAAAATTTAGCTTGAGGCAAGAATGAAATCAGCACTGAATTCTTCAAATAAAAGCCCAGCGTGAGATTTTATTTTTTCCCAGCATGAGATTTTTTTTTTTTTAGCATGTGAATACACCAGATTTTGTCTAATGTTCCTCACTAACAAAAAGTTGTTCAATCCATTGAGACAATAAAATATTTTGGTTAACAATGGCTGTTAACCCCCCCCCAATCACATACAAATGAATTCATAAAGGATCTGTCCATCATGCTAAATGAAAAACAAATATTGTTCCGTTCTAACAGAAAAGCTACATCTGGAAGAATGCAATGGAACTACATCTAAGCTTATTTCAGAGCCAATTTTTAAAGATAGTTACTAAAGCAGTCTACAGCTGATCTTGTGTCTGCAAGTCGGTTGGCATTTACGTTCTCATTGGCTTCAGCCGATGTACTATCAGCTATAAAAGCACTGGTTTATCAGAGAGAGGCTGCAGACCTCCTGTAAACATCACCACAGATAAGAAAGGTAATTTCCCAGCAGACTCAGACAATGGGGAACCTTTCCTAAGGCTTCCTTTAGCTCATCTCCCTGTACAGGAAAACTCAAGACAGATGCAACACGATTCTAGAAATTTACGGCTAAAAAGTAAGCATTATCACAGCATGGACATGACAGAAAAACCATTCCACTGTTGTAACGAATGAAAAGGGCTGATTTTTTTTTTAATTCATAATTGTGTCTTGCATTTATATTCCAGTAACATCATACATAGGGTTTCTTTCATTATAACATTCACAGTTCATAATGCAACAATTCCTGTAGTCCAATTCCTAACACCGTTCCCCTGTAGAACACAAATATGTAAACGTTTGTCCGTTTTTGGAAGAGCAAAAGTGACCAGTGTTGAGCGGTATGCAGCCGTCTCATGTAGTGTGTCATGACAGCATTAACAAATTCTTAATAAAGCGTCACACAACTCAACCCAAACCATTTCGACTTGGGACATAACGATAGTGTTTTCCTTTGTAAACCTCGTAAATCCAATATTAGAGTGATGTTGCACTTTTAAATAGTCAAAAACGTTTAAAATGTAAAAATTTTCAGCATTCTCTCGGTTTATGGTGTATGTTGAAAACTGCAATACAAAAGTGTCAAAAAGCGTGAGGGTAAACAAATATGCAAATTCACAAAACCAGAGACTGTTTATGACTATGACTAGCTCTGTTAGTGTGTTGACAAGTTACCTTGAACACTCATAATAAGTAGGGTTTTGTACATAACATTAGCAAATAATTCAGGCCCTAATGGACAGCGGCTGATTGTCAGTGAAGAAACGTCAAGTACACATGCCGGTGAGGGCAAAGAGAAAGACAAACTGCTACAAAAAAGCACTACGATGTGCTACAATGGCTTTTGTCAGGCAGGCATAGAGGCAACAGGTCAGAAAGGCCTTATGTCAAAGGAAGCCCTCATGGGATGCTCTGAGCAAGACCAGAGTAAAGGGATAAAGGGATAGTTCACCTAAAAAATATATTAAAATTCTGTCCCCATTTACTCATCCTCATGCCGTTCCATAAACCATATGATCATTTTTCCTATGTTTCTTTCACTTTCAGGGAGCTTGACAGTCCCTGGTCACTAAATGCACTCACTGCATGGAAAAAGAGCAGTGTGAACATTCTTTAAATGTTCACGCTGATCACACATTTTTCAATTTTGGGTGAACTATCTCTAACCACTCCATTCTGATCACTAAACAGGCCTAATTTCTACTGTACATAGTGGCATTTTGTAACCAAAGAGCTTTATAACAAGTCCACAATAGCAAATTCAGAAACTGTGACTGACTTTTGCCTATTTTTCTAAAAGAACCTTTGAAAAGCTCAAAAACATCTGATTTCTAAAAGCAAGTGACATTACAGCTATAAAGTTCTTCTGGTTGTCATGCGCACACATACACACACAAACACACACACTATGGGTACTGATTGCATTTCAGCGTGTGTTTCTGTCCTCTTCGTTTTCCCGAAAAGTAGAAATCTTAAAAGTTTGCCAGTGGTTAAATAGACAACGTGATGGTGCAAAAAAAAAAAAATTCCATGATGGAAGGTTCAATGCAAGGCCTGTCAGAACGTGTCCATATTTTTCTCCTTTATGCTGTTTCTGGAGGGGAAATGGGAGTCCCACCGGGTTCAGTGGGAAAAATGATCCATAAAAGAGAGCGTAATTCTCTATAAAAAGTTTTTAGGCCAATGGACAAGAAGAACAAAGCAAATAAACAGCATGTTAGAGTTGGGACAGATGCCAGTGCTCAAATCCAACGGTCTGGTTACACAGTGTCTGTATAATGAGCGGGCGAGCGGTCAGTAGTTCTGCGGCCCTCTCTCCTCAGCAATCGGTTTTGCCCTTCTCCAGTGAGCTGTGGATCTTATCCAGAGTCTTTTTGATGCGCAGGGCAGTGAGTCGAGCCGAGGGGTTCTGGTACCAGCACTCTTTCATCAGCTTTACCAGAGCAGACAGGGTCTGTGACCACACAGAAACACACAGACGTTTGTTTTCAGATCATAGTGAGGATCTCCTGTCGACTACAAACGTTAACATTTATATATGGAAAATAAGACATTTAGTTCCTTTTTTTTAGCATAAAGACAGTCTGCTATAGAGTGCTGCAGGGATGATGTATTTTCACAAGCCAATCTGGAAATTCGCATCACCCTGGTTCCCTCAACAAAAATGTTTAGGATTTTTCCACTGGTTTTTGTATTACTGCAGAGAATAAACTCTGTGACCAACAAAAGTATATTATTTTGACACGTTTTGAAGCCTAAATACAATCACCAGAAGTAAAAAGCTAAAGTTAGGCTATAAATGAACCAGGCTACATTCCCCTCACATGACTTCAACAGCACCACCAGCCTTCGATAACTTTCAGTATTTGCTTAAATTCTAACAGTTAACGTTTTAGTTAGCATGGTTTGCAAGATTGCGATTATAAACCCAATGAGGCTCTGAAAGCTGACTAGTGAGTAAATGAGTTTTCCTATTTGGTGTGATAACATTTAATGTCCCTGATGACCTCTGTCTCATTTAGCCACTTATTATTAGCAACTTTTTTTTTTTTTCAAACCAAGATTGTGTAAAAGCTTAGCAAATGGGGTGGGGCAATACTGATGTACTTTATGTCGTAAGAACAAAACATGAAAATATCTTGAACTTGTGTTCATCATAAAACCTAATTTCAGGCATTTACACGCATTGATTTTTGGGACAACAGAAGTGGAATTGTAAAAATGCGAACTCATTTCTGGGTTTTAGGACTCGTTCCTGCAGTACTGTATATGTGTAGACTATTTAACACGTCCACTGCAAGGTAAATATGTTTACAGGGATACAGAGAGTGTCTCATCATTACTTACAGGATCTGAAAACCAGCGGTTGGGAATGAACGGCCTTTGTTGCTCCACACAAACCACTTTCCTCATGTCGTCAAAGCTGGGGTCATTAGGCACCAGGTCATAGAAAGGCGGCTTGTATTCCTCTACAATTCCTACAGGATCACAGTGTTTAAAAAAAAATTATAGTCATTGTACATTTAATTGGGGAACATTCTGATCTCTATTGTCCTTAAAATGCTGACAAAATAAATAAAATTCTGTGCAAACATAATTAAAGATTTCTGAATAGATTCCAGGTAGCTGACCGTTACTGATGGTCCTGCGAGCGATCTCCCACAGCACCAACCCAAAGGCCCAGATGTCCACCCTCTTATAGGCATCGAAACAGTCTGTCTGAATGGTCTCATCCAGAACCTCCGGTGCCATGTAGCGCTTAGTTCCCACTTTAGGATTATTTCCCACATTATATGTAAAACTATTTTCATTATACACTACCGTTCAAAAATTTGGGGTCAGTAAAAAAAACATTTGTAAAGAAATTAATATATTTATTCAATATTCATTACGTGCACAGGGTCACTTATGATTTAAAAAAAAAAAAAATGGGCATGCAAGAAATTACCCAGGTCAGCGATGCAGCACTGCAGATCTTTCTTCACCAGGATGTTCTTGCTCTTCAGGTCTCTGTGAGCGATAGCCGGTTTGCCCTCAGTGCCAAAAATCTCCGTGTGCAGGTGCACCAGCCCGCTGGCTACTGACGCCGCCATGTGCAGTCCATCTGCCATCTCCACGGCAACACGCTGCAGGTAGTCGTAGAGAGAGCCGTTTTCGTGGTAGTGTGTGATGAGCCACAGCTGAGTGCTAGAGTTTCGGGAGGTCATATCAGAAGCCATGAATCCTGCAAAGAAAAGAGTTTAAAATAACATCACCCACATTGTATTGAGCTATTTTTTTGTTCTATCATTTATTTTATTTAAAGAAAAGATGCTATTATCTGAGATAACAAAGATGTCCGACTCACCTAATATATTTTCATGTCGTAGTAGAACAGTGTTGTATATTTCTGTCTCTCTAAACCATGACTTCTCATCTCTGGAGGAGAAGATCTTCACGGCTACATTCTCTCCTTGCCACTGACCTCTCCACACTTCCCCATACCGTCCCTTACCTGAGAACACAGGACACAGAGAAATTATATCACGTACATCACTGTCTGTAATTTATTGCACGTTACTAGACAGAGATTAATTACTTGTGTAATGTGCTGTAAAAGCTGCAAAACACAGTGTCACAGATTTTGTAGTCTTATATGTACTAAGGTCATTCTACGATTTGTCTTACCAACACACTCTACCAGGCTGATCTGCCGTGCAACCGTCCTCTGCACCAGGAAGGGCAGTCCAGAACCACTGCCTGATGTGCAGGAGTGATCCATCAGATCCTAGAAAACAACACAAGACTGATGAGGCATTATCTAACGGTTAAAGACTGAAAACAGAATAACTTCAGCTAAACTGAATGCAACATTCAAAAGTGTGGGGTGAGTAAGATTTTTTGTTTTTTTAAAGAAATACTTTTATTCAGCAATGAAGCATTCAATTGTTAAAAAGTGACAGTAAATAAGTTTACACCGTTGCCCCAAAAAAAAATAAAAAAAATAAAATAAAATAAAAGCTGTTTTTAATGTTCTATTCAAAGAATCATGTAAAAAAATTATTACAGAAACAGTGATACTAAGTAGCACAGCTGTTTTAACATTGATAATAAGAAATGTTTCTCGAGCACCAAATCAGCATTTTAGAATGATTTCTGAAAGATCATGTGACACTGAAGACTGGAGTAGTGATGCTGGAAATTCAGCTTTGCCGTCATAGGAATAAATTGCATTTTAAAACATATTCAAATAGACTTTTTGTAATTGTAATAGTATTTCATAATACTACTATTTTTAATGTAGCAGGCTTGGTGAGCACTTATGAGTAGTCAAGGCCGATATATCGGCGATATTTGGCATTTTTCAAATATCAGTATCGTTCGAGGCGGGACTTTTATTTTGACGGCGCTGAGAACGGCAGTTAAATTATGCTGCGCTTTATGCATTTGCCCACTGCCGTATTCATGTCATTTTCACTGTGTGCTGTATGCAAAATGAGTGTTACCTTGGCTTTATATGGAAAAAAAAATATATGATTCCCAATGCACACAAACTTCCCAGAATACTGAGTGCCCTGTTGGTTACAGTGTTTACTTCCTTTTTAATTAGATTTTTATTAAATATTTATTTGTGAAAAATGCTTTGTCTTCTAAAGTATAAGTATGTTTATTTTACACAATTATTTAAAATCCATTTTCAAATGATTTCAAATTTCTTAAATTAAATTAAAATAAATACAATTATATCGGCTTTATATCGACCACCCTGCTTTCCAAGATATCGGCATCGGCTGTCAAAAAACAATATCGGTCGACCACTACTTATGAGAATTCTTCTGAAAAAAAAAAAATAAAAATCACCTGATATTTGCAAAATATTAAGAAAGTTTTAGTAAACTATAGAAATGAAATACCGCAAGTGTGCTGTCTCCGACATTAGATGCAATGAGCCCGTCAATGGCCCCCTGCTCAGTGTCAAACTCATGCAGTCTTTCCAGACGCCCGTGATGGAGTCTACGGCACACCAGCAAAGCCAGAACAGATAGCAATCCCAGAACCACAAACGGCCCCAACACAAAGAGAATCAGCATCTCCACACGGTAATGCACAGCTGCCTCTCCTTCTGGACCATTTCAGAGACACAAATACCGTCAAATATATTCACTTTTTTTTTTTTGGAAAAGCAAAACTATTTACTGAAAAAAATATATTTTATAAAAATTATTTTAATTGTTTTTGCTAGAATGTATTCAATTATTAAATAATAAAAGTATAAATAAATAAATAATAGAATAAAATAATAATTGGGCTCAGAGATGGCCCAATGACTTTTGGATGACAAGTTTTGAAAATACAAAACTGTTTAATGAATTTTTTATTTTTTTTTTAATGAATGAAACTATATACATTTAAAAAATGTTGCTAAAATGTCTTAAATTATAAAACAACACCTTTTAACAACTTGAATTTGTAAAGAATTAATTGACTTACCTGTCAGCAGTAGTCGAAGAAGGGTCTCTTTCGAGACGTTGGCATTGCACATGTGTTGGGAGCAGCATTCTACGACATGACTAGCAGAGGGTGTTGCGGAGCAGGTCATGCGCTTGCTCTCCGACCCGACAAGACAGCCACGTTTGAATGTTGTCACATCGTTGCTAATGATAACAGAGGTGTAACACTGGTCTCCAGTGCACTGCTGCTCATTACAGTCACTGCCGACACACATGCAGTCAATGGAGACATCTGGAGAGAGACAGAAAACAGAAAGTCAGGGAGTTAAATCATAAATTAAGGAAAAGGGGACCCAGTCTGTATCCATGTCAGTTGTCACCAGCTGCAAAAACTCTGGGAACAATGAAATTAATTAAGGAAGAGCAGCATGACGCCAGACCTCACAGACGAGACTCTCTCCGCCTGATAACTGAGACTGTTCTCTTCCCTTCTCCCTGCCTTCATTTCCTGTGACACTGAACTATGTCAACTTTACAAATTGACTTCAGAGAATAAAGACCAGAGAGCATCAATGACACAGATCAATTAACCCAGCATTCATGTTTTATGCCCTCCGTGAGACACACTAACAGAGCCTGAGGAGAGAGGACACAGACACCTAATGAAAGTACAACTACGATTAGGTACACCAATCCTACTGCGTTGTGGCTAATGTTTAAACTATGACTTATTGGTTAATGCCACTATAGTCTCAGGCATGCTATTTCCAGATGCCAAAGTCAAACATATATTATCAGTTCACCCTTAAAGGGATAGTACATCCAAAAATGATTTATCAAAATGTATTTGATAAAATATACAGTAAAACCAGTAATATTTGAAATATTCTTAAAATGTAGCAATTGTAGAATTTATTTTAATATATTTGAAAATGTAATTTATTCTTGTGATGGCAAAGCTGAATGTTCAGTAGTCATTACTGATTTGATTCTCAAAAAATATTTAATATTATTACAATTGAAAAAAAGGCTCTTTAATTAATGGAAAGTTCAAAAGATTGTTTACTGTTACTTGTAATCAATTTAATTTATGCTGAAGTATTAATTTATTTAAAAAGAAATGATCCCTTAAGGATTACCCACATCACATATAAAATACATGAATCAAAATAAATAATTATTATTCATGATGATAATAATAATAATAATAATAATAAAACTATACAACAATAAACGTAAAAGGTAAAATATCAGAAAAAGGATTTATGTTTGCCAGCTCTTTACCTTTAGCTGATGTCCGTAAGAATTGAAGCAGGAATAGGACGATGATTCGGGTACTGCAATGCCCCATTTGGTTCACTGCACTGAAAGGAAAACGAGGTGTTACAAATGCACATTTAAACCAAGAAACATCACAAATCACCTGCTTAGTTTAAAAGTTCTACAGAACAGTGGGCCAGAATCAATGACCAACAAGAGAACAGAACCGCAAAGATGACGAATAAAATTTTTTTTGAGAATGCAGCTGTGCTCTGCCTCTCTCTCACGCCACAAATAGTCAGACAGGGGGCCGTCTCCATGGCAACCGAGGAGAGAGAGATGCCCATTATGGAGCGACATCAAAGACAGTGAAGGAGCATTTTAGGAGAGACAGAAAGGAACAAGCATTTTGGGTGTGCAGGACTCACCATTACGTTGTAATATTCAAGGACATCATGACTAATTATAGACTATGAGTCCTCGAAAACTGACTCTGAAATGGTGTAGGGTCATTTTATTCAATGCCTCTTAAATCCTGACAACTAAAAAAAAATGCAATTTCAAAATGACCAAAAAAAAATGCAATTTTACACAAGAGCAACAAGGACAGTCTTACTTGTACAACTTCTCAGGTGACTCTCAGCACTTTCTTTCAGTATGTGCACAGCCAGACTCTGTCTTCCCATTTGATCCTAAAAAAGAAGATGGAAACCAAAGCAGCATGTTAAACTTTTTCCACAGCAGTGCCTTTCTCATGGTCATTTCTTCAGGAAGGAGTGAGTGACAGGATAAGAGGGGTGCCTGGAAGTCTCTGCACAGATAGTCAGAGAGCTGGAACTGACTTATGGCTTGATTCCCTTTTGCTGCTTGCCATATTAACATGTTAACCATATTAACATTAACCATATTAATGAAAGTTTTTTTTCGAAATGCAAAGGATCCTAAAAATAATTCTATTTTGCATTTTTCTGAACTATTATTTTATTTTCATTCGAAATTTTATCATTAGCATTTCAATTTGAGTGAAAATTCAGAAAAGTTATTTTATTATTATACAAATAATTAATATGAATTTCAGAACTTATTTTGCTTTACAGACAGCAGCAAATTGTGCTTTGATGGTTTTGAGAGAACTTTAAATAGTGATGATTCTGAAATATCCACTTAGTAACATTTCTACTTTTTAATTTTTCCCAAAAGCTTTCACATGGTCTCAATTGGATTCTCATATTTTGCAATCTGGACCTTATTAAATATAGTGTTCATATATTTTATACACACACAAGTTACAATTTTCTAGCGAGCAAAATAGTCTAGAATTGCATAATTGCAAAAAATAAATAATAATAATAATAATATAAATAAATAAATAAATAAATATATTATAGTTTTAGCACTGACTGATATTTCCAGCTTTTTAGTGACCATGGGAACCTTTTCAGTGAAGATCAGAGAGTCTATATTGTTATGATCTCTTACAAGCAACAACACAATCAAAATGACTGACGTGCAATGAGTTACACACAGAGCTGTTAATAGAAAATTGTTTTAACACTACAGATGATCTGCTTTAACAGATACAAGTGCCTACAATATAATCAGATCGACTACAGCAACGATCAAAGCACAGACAACACAAAAATACAAAATAACACGCAAAAACCTAAGCTGTCGACATATCATAATAATGTCTGCATTATAACTTTGTCTAATAATCGGCCTGTTTGCAGCTGCTGTGCTAACTGTGCTAACGACCATTATTTACTCGCCGCATTTATTTCCAACAAATCAAAGTGCCATTAAAGATAGCTTTTACCTTTAGCTGCGATGTAGATTCATGTTTGTGTTAATATTCCGTGTTTTCACGGTTTTATTCGAAGTCGTGTTTGAGACGCTGACAGACTGTCTGCCGCCACCCAGAGAGAATGAAAAGACTGCGCCGTGACGCCACCATAAACAAGTGACGCGCGAGAGCATTGTGGGATACCGCAGTCCGCCGAATGTGAGTGCCAGGCCCTGAATCCATAAAATAACTTTGATTGTTTTGTAACGACACATTTCTGTCTCAGATCACGTTTAAACAAAACATTTGGCTCAACCTCATGAAGCAAGGAATTTTGTTTGTCTACAAACAATTGTACAGAGTTTAGTGATAACTGATGGAGTGCTTCATTTCCTCGTTAATAAATAAGAAACAAAATGGTCGAATTTACTGTGAGCTATAGTGGTGAATGCAATCTATTATATTAAAATATTAAGGAATGAATATTAATAATTTTGAAGTGATACAAACATGAGATGGTATTAAAGGAAAAGTTTACCCCAAAATGAAAATTTGCAGAAAATTGACTAGCCCCCAGGATTCCAAGATGTAGATGAATTTGTTTCTTAATCGGAACAGCGTTATTACATATTATGGACTTTATTTTGACCAGAAGGAACGGTTTAAAGTTTAAACACCTTAATGATGGATTTGTTTTTTTACAAACACACAGCTTTTACTTGACAAGACATTAATTGATGGACTGGAAATTTGTGGATTATTGTGATGTTTGTATCAGCTGTTTGGACTATCATTCTGACGGCACCCATTTATGGCAGAGGATCCATTGGTGAGCAAATAATGTGATACTAAATTTCTCCAAATCTGTTCCGATGAGGAAACAAATGCATTTACATCTTGGATGGCCTGAGGGGTGTATGAATAAAAAAGCTCATTTTAATTTTCTGGTGAACTATTCCTTTAAGGCAAATCTCAAAGATCCATATTATAGCAAAATACAGATGCTGACCAGTACAAACCTGCTACGCACAACCGACTGCATCAACCTTGAGAAAATTATATAAAACCTGGTCTTACAACACCTCCAAATTTACAATTGTATGTAATGTTCATCAGTTCAATGAACTGTATCAATTTACCTGAAAGTGTTTGATCATTTATATTACTATTTACAAACTGTTAGAGAGACACACACATAGCTGCTTAAAGAAAGCAAAATGTCCTTGCCATGATAGGAGTCAAGGAGCCAGTGGCCTGACAGTTTTTTTGTTCTAAAATAGCTTGTTGATTAATGGACATGCCATTTTCTATATGGGGAAAAATGGATAGGGAGTCAGGGGCACTGAAGGGCAGGGAAATAAGGCGTCTGACGGCCATCAAGTGACTTGCCACAATTCTTTTCCACTCAATATCATAGATTTTTCATGTATAATCAAAGCATTGCAATTTTTGGGGCATTCATGGCACTGAGGTCAATGTTGTGTGGAACACAATTGCACCTCTGGGGGAAATGCACTATTGCTTTTTTTCTTTGCTTGCAACAACATGAAAAACATGTTACTCAGCAAAGAGTCTGATTTACTGATAAAATATCGAACCAGTTGCCATTTTTTAAGCCACTGACATCAGTCTTTTTACTGTTTTGAAAATAGAACAATTTGTCTAAGAATTTGCTAAAAGTTTTTAAAATGAAATTTTGTTTGTATTTATTTATTTTGTTTTATGAATCAATATTTTTTCTTACATTTATTAACAAGGATTTTGTATTGTTTTGGCTACATGTGTACATCAAAGTATGTGTACCTTTATAGGTTTGTTTTTGGCTCTGAAATTCTGTCCTCTATCTCATAGATGACTCGTGTCTCCTTTAATAAAGCATTGATTATGGGGAAGGTGACATGAGAATTAGGATGCAGAGGAGATATCAAGTGGCCTATATGCTTCCTTAATTGCATAGTGGCACAAAAGAATCCCCTGTTGCCCCTCCATCCATATCTCCAATCAAACTTGGCTTGTTTTGGACCTTTGGTTTAATCTTGAGGGGCTTTAGAAGCTGTCCACAAAAAGCTATTGTATCTTACTTAATTATAACCTCAGAAATGATCTGACCTGTCCGGTGCCAGGTGCAGTGAAGTGTGCAAAAGCTTGCATGCCATGAGGTCCCATTGGATAAGGAAAAGAAACACTAGATGCCCATCGTGATCGGATAAGTGGAAAATAACCTAACAATGTTAGATCTGAGAAAAAAAAAAAAAGGCAGAGAAACTTCGGTAAAGACCTAATGGAAAGTTTTTCCCTCCCCTCTTGGTTTCTGAGACTTCTGGGTACCCTAAAAAGGTAGCAATATGAGCCCCAAGCCTTTTTTTTCCCTGTCTTTTTACTTTTTTCTTTTTCGTTTTTTTTTTACCTTACTTCCCATACCACCTCTGTGAGTCTGAGCCCATTTGGAAGGTTACTGTTTAAAGTCAGCATGGATCATCCAGGAGGACACCTTGCTGTGGTTCTGTTCTTACTTGTTCTGGTTTCTATGTCCACCGAAAACAACATTAGTAAGTACTATATTTATATGCTCTCAGCTTTTTGATCTTATTACGACATTGGCTGATTATAAAATGAAATATTCTTGTTTGGATTGGCTTTCTGCACTTGATTAATTTGATATCAGAATTAACTTGGGGAACTTTATATAGCAATACGTTTATGAAAAAGATTGGACAAACTTATTTGAATTTATGTTTCTCATCTTTTAATCTAAACGTTTATGCTTAAATGCTTGACAGTATTTTTATAGGTAAATATAAATTGTGCTTACCTATGGATTTTCATTCAGTATTCTATTATTCTATTATTTTAATTAATTTATTATTTTAAAATTTAATTTAATTTAATTTAATTTAATTTAATTTAATTTAATTTAATTTAATTTAAGATCCAGCATACATGGGAACTCATTCAGTACTGTTTGCATTGCAATTGCCTCAATAAGTTGATTAGAAGTGACTTCTTTGAAGAATCTAAAATGTAAAGTAGTTTGAGTTGTGTAAATATTTTTAGTCATCACTTTTCCACACTTTTTTGGTTAACTTTACTGTTATTCTAAAATGAAAACTATCAGGTGAGAGCAAGCTTTTTGACTGCCATTCTGGTGCAGTTAAAAAAAAAATCCTGAAATATATTTGATGTTTGTCACTATTTGAAAAAGTACACATTTTGAATTAAAATCAAATGAAAGTTTATTTGCTTTGCAGTCAGGTGGTGCACAGTGTCTGATGCTGAAGAGCAAAAGTGTTTGGATCTAGCTGGGAACGCCACAGCCAGGAACATCCGCGGACAACTCCTTTGTGTGAGGGGCCAAAGTCCCAGTGACTGCATGAAGCAAATTAAGGTTGTAGGAAATTGCTTCCCAAGAAGCAAATCAAATCAGATATGGTGCTTGAAAATGACTGCAATATTACAAGTCTCATATATTTCAGATTGAACCTTAAAATTGTGCAGATGTTTGCTCCTCCTTTTTGCTTTTCTTGCACTCCTTCAACTTCTCAACTGATTATTCAGTCTTACAAAATGTTTGACGTTTTGCTTTTCCATTATATCAAAAATGATGGAAATTTCTCAGTATATGGTTTAGTATAATTTGTCTGTGATGTAAACAGAATGGCACTGCAGATGCCTCTACTATGTATGCTGATGAGATCTACACAGCTGGGTTTTGCTATGGCTTAGATGTGGCTGTGGGAGAGTCTTATAATGGTGTGGGTGAGTATGTTTAAACTATTAAAAGCATTAAAGCACCAGTCAGAGATCTGATAAAATATTTTAGTCAAAGAGCTTGACGTCAGTGCATGCTCACGTGACTTTACCGATGTTTTGTGTCTGACACAGATGGCATTAATTATTACGTGGTTGCACTGGCACGGACATCATCCAGTGATCTGTCACTACTGGAGATGCACGAACGCAGCTCCTGTCACCCAGGGATGCGGACTACAGTGGGCTGGACCGTCCCCATTGGCTTCCTGGTCAACACATCGCAGATCAGCGTGGATGAGCAGTGCAACTTTCCCCATGGTGAGATGTTACCATGCTGTATTTCACCTGCATGTATAATAGTTACTGATATTATTTGATAGATTACAAAGCTCCTAACATCTGGTTTAATTATCGGTGACATACATACAAAGTAATGCTTTCATTTTTTTTTTTATATAAGTGGTTAAAAATGGTTCAGATGCAAATTGAGTATGTAATGGCACCCATTGGCAGCAATTTAAAAAGCTATATCCGTCTCCCTATGGTTTCCAGTGGTAGGAGATTTCTTTGGGTACAGCTGTGTCCCAGGAGTGAAGGACCCAGAACATGATCCCAAAGGAAATAACCCAAGGAACCTGTGTGAGGCCTGCATTGGGGATGAGAATGACCACCACATCTGCGCCAACAACCCTCGGGAACGGCACTTCGGGGAGGCTGGAGCTCTTAGGTGCTGTATGATCAGAGATGTGAGAGAATGCATATGTTCTAGTGGAACCATTATTCAAAATATGAATATGCTTTGTGTAGCAAGAATATTGTATTGCATAATGGGTTTGGGACAAAAAACAGTTCTCTATATACTGTAAGTCTAATATTACATTACCATTTAAAAGTTTTGGGTGAGTATGATTTATTGAAAAGTTTTTGAGAGAACATTTACCTAGGCTCCATTAATTTAATCAAAAACAGTAATATTGTGAAATATTATTACAGTTTAAAATAACTGTTTTCTATTTCAATATATTTTACATTTTCCGTTTTTTTTCTTCTGTAATGGAAAAGCTCATTTTTCAGCAGCCATTACTCCAGTTACAAGATGCTTAAGAAATCATCCTATTATGCTGATTTAGGGCTTAAGACACTTTTTGTCTTATTATTATTAGTTGAACATGGTTGGGCTGCGTAATTAGGAATGGAAAGTGTATTTGGAATTGTTGTTTTTCCAGTATTTTTTATGAACAGAAAGTTTGAAGAACAGCATTTGTTTGAAAAAAAAAATCTTTGGTAACATTATAAATTTTTTTACTGTCACTTTTGATTCATTTAATGCGTCCTTGCGCAATAAAAGTATACATTTCTTTAAAAAGCTACTAATTCCAAACTTTTAAATGGTAGTGTATATATTTTATATCTATTATAATATATTATTATTTAAAACATGCAGGTGTGTGGCCGAGAATCTCGGGGATGTTGCTTTTGTTAAGCACACTACAGTCTTCGACAACATGCAGGGTAAGTAATGCAGGGTGTAAGAAGAGCTAGTTAAACAGGAGGGCAAAAATGCCCAGATGCATTAAGAATATCAAGTTGGTTTCTTATTAAATGGAATGTTTTAAGGGACTGAAGGAGGACAACTGTAGCCTTCACTTCATGATCTGTATCATGTTTCACTGGCTGACAGACACAGGGGGGCAGCATTTCACAACAATGCATCTCTTTGTGTGCCTGATGGGATCTATGAAAGCTTTTTTTTTTTAAAATTAGATATAGATATATTTAATACTTTTTTATGAAAGCCTGCATGACTTGCAAGCTTTCTTAATTTTATATTTAAAAGTTTCATCCAGACAAATGTTTCATCATGCCTTCTGTTTTAGAACTTCTCGCTGTCTGTAAGAAATCTTTGTCTGGCTTATTATTCATGTAAGGTAAGAACCAGGAGTCCTGGGCGTTGGACCTGGAGCTGGAAGACTTGAAGCTCTTGTGTCCTGACGGGAGAGAAGCTAACCTGTTCCAACATGAGAGCTGCCACCTGGCTGTGGTGCCAACCAATGCTGTGGTAGTGCGTTTGGAGGACAAATGCCGTGTTTACAAGTTCTTGGAACGTGTACAGGTCAGGAGAGACGGCCACACAGTCACACATTGGAGTCCAAAAGTCTGAGAACAGTCAGAAAATCCAGGATTTTTTTTGCGCTTAAATCAAAAAACAAATGAAAAGGTATAATGTGAAATAGGGGTATGACAATACATTGTGTCACAATATATCACAATACAAAAATGTAATATGTACAGTATCGTGGATAGTAACAATACGTATCATGTATAGTTCACCCAAAAATGAAAGATTTAATAATATATAATAAAAAAAAAAACATACAAAGAGCACATCAAATATGGTAAATCAGAAAGCTCACACATTTGAGCTACCTTGTTTATTCATTATTATTAATTAATTAAAATACATGATTTAATAATGTATTGCAAGCATAAGTGTCTAATGTAGAATAATGCATATTTCCATTCTGGTTAATGAACAGTTCTTTTGCTAACTGTTCATCATATGCCTTAGAAGTATCAGAATAAAAAAAAAATAAAAAAAAGAATTTTGGCTTTGTTTAAAGTATTGTGAGAGTATCATATGGAGAGATCAGTATTGAGTATCATGAGTGAATTGTTACTCCCCTAATGTGAAATGAAGAAGTATTTAATATTCTGCACTATTTTTAGACACTATTTCTAGGTCTTGGCAATTAAATGTTTTTAATTCAAAATTGAATTCAAATTTAAATTATTCACTCAACTCACGATGCAATATGATTCACGATACAATTTTCTCATTATTTTTATTTTTTTTAACAAAATTAGATTTAAGACAAATTATAAATTAAAAGGTGTCCTTTTATTATTGCTTGGACAAAACGCTGCACATTTCTTTGTGAATCTGAAATATGTCAATTAACAAAACTAAATTTAAATTTTAAAACCCCAAAATCAAACCCCAAATCAAATAAATAAATATTACAAATAAAATAAATATCTTCATATAAACAAACTAAGGATTTGTCTGTGCTCTTTCCATTTAAAAGTAGAGGCAACCACTGCATTTTAATCACAATCCAAACAAAGATGCTGCATACATGCAGCATGAGCAGTATTTGATTTAAATTACATTGTATCATTTCAAAATTTGAAGCAAAAACAGAATGGTCTGACCTTAGCTTTGTGAAACTATACTACATAAAACATCTGCACGAAACAAAAACAGTAGACGCTCTGAATAAGAGCGCAAATTTACTCTGACAGCAGGTGGCGCTTATGCAACAGCAGCGATACAGTGCCACTTTAAAAGAAAATACTATCTAAACTTTTCTAAAACAGTCAGTTCCCCTCAGAGATACATTCATATAAATCCCCAATTGTATCACGATTCGTTTAACATCTGAACCGATTTGAATTGTCACATACAATATTTGTATCGATTTTCATCTGGCTTGGGGTGCATCGTTACATCCCTAGAAACGTAAAAAAAGAAGCAACTAGTGGTTTCAGACTTTTGGACCCCATTATGCTGCACACACACATAAAAATGCCACAAATTATATAATGACATTTATACTCCTAGAGAGTTACACTGTGTGTGGATATCAGGTTTGATTCACATTTTTATTACATTATCCGTGAAATAATATAAAAACTCTAAAAAGAAAAAATCTGAAATCCCTTTTGTTCAATACAGAGCATGAAATTCTCATTGGAAGTGATGTTCCTGCACATTAGCGGTCAATGGTATGATTAAACGAGCCCTGCCAAAACCTATATTATCAGTGATATCTCTGAATGTCTCGAGTATTACACGGATTACATCAGGATGACTTATGTGTTCAATACATCCAGCCAGAGCCCTGTGGTGATCATTGATTTTCACAAGACACCGTCTCACATTACAGTGTGTCATTAGGGGAGGATGTCACTACAGTGAGCTCTGTTATGAAAGCAGGACTAGCACACACACATACTGAGCAAAGCACAGTGCAAAATATGAGCAAAAAATGTCAAAAAGATTCAATATTTGCAAATGAAACAAATATACATATTTCAAACTAACACCCACTCTCAGCCCTTTTCTCTTTTATTTGCTTCTCTGCGAGTATTCCCGAAATTCTGCTTGATTGCATTTTCTCTTTTTCTTATTTTGTTTTACCCGTTTCTGTCTTCTAGAATGCATTTGCTAATGCCACTGAAGGATTCTCTCTGTTCATCTCGGTGAATTATGGGCAACCTGATGTGCTGTTCAGCGATTCCACAACAAAGCTGCTGCGTGTTATGGGAACCTACACTTCCTGGTTGGGGCCCAGTTACACCACCATACTGAAGGCTTTTGAGTGTGAAGGTACAGTGGAGCAGAGCTGTTATGCAGTTATTGTATTATGCAAACGTCAGTATTGTAAATGTTTCTATAGGGGATTATATTGTTCATATCAGAACTTTTAGAATTACATTTTTTCATTAACGGTCTGCTTATAACAATGTAGTGAATGTGCATCAAAAAACAGTCATTATTTAAATGACTATTAAGGGCACAGTACCAAATAATGAACAATAACCATTTTACTTTGTTACTGTACCTTTAAGACTAACAAAAATATCTTCCAAAGGTTTAAATGGTATTTTTCAGACTGAGGTTTTGAGTTCTGAAAGCATATTTACAAGGCATGTAATGCACCGGTGCATCATGTTTTTTTTTCTTTTGGATGGATGCATGAAAATTAATAACTGAAACTTTAAATTATTCTGACTGTTTTAAATTATTTTCTTTATTGTAAACAATATACAAGGAGAAACATTACAGATACAGAAACACTACCATTCATATTTATTTATTTTTGAAAGAAATGAGTACTTTTATATAGCAAGGATGCATTAAAGGGGTCATATGATGCGATTTCAATTTTTCCTTTCTCTTTGGAGTGTTACAAGCTCTTGGTGCATAAAGAAGATCTGTAAAGTTGCAAAGACTAAAGTCTCAAATCCAAAGAGATATTCTTTATAAAAGTTAAGAGTCAACCACGC